CCCCTTTTAACCGCCCCTCCCCCCCCCCCCCCCAGTAGCAGTGGTTGCCCCCCCTTGAACATTGACGGGCCTTTTTTTGGGTTGGGTTTCCAGCAAAGTTCCCCAAACGGGGGGTGTGTGTGCCCCCTTCGGTTCACTGGAGACCCGGGGCCGACATTAAGGGACTTTTTCCCTTGTTTGCCCCCCCGGGCCCCCCCCCCCCCCTCCCCCTTCCCCAAAGATATTTGCACTCGCCCAAGCAGCAGCGGCAATCAGCGTCTGAGCGCTCACGCTCGCTGCACCTGCACGCCATGGACATTGCAATGCCTGAGGGCGCCATGGAGTACAAAGATGCCCCCCCCGCCGCCGTAAACGACGAGAGTGCCCGCCGTGGATTGCTCGACGACGCCATTTTCCCAGCCTTTGGCAACGATGCAGGTAGTCCCAGTGTCGAGTCGCCCGAACAGATGCAGAAGAACGACCCGCTGGGCACGCAAATCTGGAAGCTGTACTCGCGAGCAAAGACGCAACTGCCCAATGCAGAGCGCATGGAGAATCTGACCTGGCGCATGATGGCCATGAACATGCGGCGAGCCGAGATGGATCGCAATAAAGGGTACGGACGCTGCCATGCCTCACGCCTGCACCAGTTGTGGTTGCGCTGCGTGCCTTCGTCGAGCCCCCAGCTAACCTTTTGTGTCGCGCGCTATGTAGGCACGTTATGAGCAGCAGCCATAGCCACCAGAGCCACCAAAGTCGCCAAAGTCGCCAAAGTAGCCAAAGCAGCCAGCATAACAGCAGCGGAAATATGCCTCCACCTGCTGTGAGCGCGAGTGCAACACCGAGGCCGCAACCCCGAACTGCTCCCAGTGGCATTGCCCAGCAGTTGAGAAAGTCTGCCGGCTATCAGCAACAGGAACAGCAACAGCAGCAGCAGCAGCAGCAGCAACAACAACAACAACAACAATCACAACAACAGCAACAGCAACATCAGCAAGTCCAGCAGCACCCATCACATCATCATGGCCTAGATTCAATGAACCTGGACGATTTTATATTTCCGTCGTCGGTTGGCAGCCCTGCAGGCCTGTCGCCAGGGCCAGACCTGTCCACCAACGAGGATGCGGCTCCGTTCAATGCAATCGCCCCAGCGATACCGATAAGAAAGCCGAATCTGGCCAACGACCATAACCTCGCCCTCGCCCGCGCCTCTGCACCTTCTGTCCCTCCTACTATCCACCGAGAGAATGAGTTTGGCTACGTGCACCGCCACGTCCGCAAGACCAGCATCGACGAGCGACGAGTGAGTCTCTCCTCCCTCCTCCCCCATGCCTCTCTCGTCCCCTCTCTACACTCCCACTAACCCCTTATCAGCCCCCCAAGCGGCGCGCCGAAGCCTCCCCACAGGTACCTCCTGTCAACAGCATCATGATCCCAACCGACGCCCAGGCCGAAGCCGACCTCCACCAGTACTCGCTCGACCAGCACTCGCACCACGACCAGCACAACATGCAGCCACCGACCTTCCCAGCCTCGCAGGCCCAGGCCCCCTTCTCCATCGACACCTTCCAGATGCCCGAGGATCCCATCATCAATTCCGCAGGCCCCTTCCAGCAAAACTTTGGCTTCTCCCCCGTCGGATCCCCCCTGATGAACCACAACGCCTTCGGCCAGAACATGTTCAACCCCACCTCGATAGCCTCCTCGCTCAACTCGACCGACTACTACTCTCCACCCAGTTCTGCCTTTCCCTCCACTGCCTCGACGCCACAGCCGATACCAGACGACAATCACATGTATTTCGACCGCAACGGCATGGACATTCGCACTTCACATGGCGGCGCCTCGTACGGTCCTCACCGCCCGTCCAACCTCTCCACATCTATGCAGCCCCAGTTCCTCTTCGACCCTAGTGCTGGTGGAGGGGATTCTGTCTTTAGCCCGGTCACCAGTGCTAGCTCCTCACTAACGTTTTCAGCCGCTTCATTTGGTCCCTCGAGTCATGTCGATCCATCCCAAGTACTACACAACAACCTCCCTCTTCGACAACAACATGAATTGCAAATGACGAGACAGGAGAACATGTTTAGCTTTGGTGCCGATTCGGACGCAGAGGATGACGAGGGGAGTGCTTTTGCAGATCGAACGATGCCGTCGCAGGAATACTCGCCAATGGAAGATGGTGCGCTGGACTTCACCGCTGGCTTCCAATGGGAGACGAACCTTTCCAATCAATTCAACCCGATGCAAGCGCGTTACCCGGCTGGCCCTCCACGAAAGACAGTCACGATTGGCGGGACAGAAATGGTGCACTCACCGCAAGATCACTGGAGTCCCGGGGCCAGCCTCGGCCGGACTCATGGCTCAGCAGCCTCGGTGAGCGATATACGCAATCGTGGAAATGACCCACGCCGCCAAAAGATACCCCGCACTAGTTCCACGCCCAACGCTGCTGGGCTGGTGCACCAGGGAATGCATGGCCGACCCATGTCATCGCCCAACTCACCACCAGAGTCGGGTTACACTTCTGCAGCACCTTCGCGACCCCAAAGTCCCGGCGGCACGAAACCGGGCGAAGGCAGCACTCCCACAACCTGCACGAACTGTTTCACCCAAACCACGCCCTTGTGGAGGCGAAACCCCGAAGGACATCCGCTTTGCAACGCATGTGGTCTCTTCCTGAAGCTGCATGGTGTAGTCCGACCGTTGTCGCTCAAGACGGATGTCATCAAGAAGCGCAATCGAGGCAGCGGTAACGCGCCCGTAGGTGCATCGTCCGCACGCTCATCCAAGAAATCGTCACGCAAGAATTCGATTGCACACACACCAGTGACAACTCCAACATCGCATAAAGCGGCTGACTCGGAATCGCCAAAGTCTACGGGCTCTGGTGGTGGTGGTGGTGGCTCATCAATTAACAACCTTGGCTCCGCCATTACACCGACTTCCAAGTCCAACGGTGTAATCGCCATTGCCCCTGGCCCACCAAAGGCTAATAATACTACCTTCAGCGCACCTCCCAGCCGCGGAACGAGCTTGGCGTCTGCGCCTAAACGGGCTCGAGGTCAGAGTCGAACTGAACCCCAGGAACTTGAAATGGCTGATGCAGAAGATACGAATGGAAGGGCACCTGTACGCAGGAGAGAGATCACCACTGTTGCGAGTTCCAGCTCGCTTTCGACTCAAAATCTCGGTGCTCTCCCCATGGGTGCCATGGGGCAAGGCTTGCAATCATCTGGCCCTGCTGAATGGGTGAGTTATTTTTTTTTCTGGACTTCAAAGTTCAGTCTAGTACTAATACGTTTCAGGAATGGTTAACCATGAGTCTATGATCTTTCCTCTCATGTCCAATCCACATCAATACAGCTTCGGCACAATCATAAAGCGGACATCACGGCACCGCCTGCAAGTTTCATTCGGCCTATGTTTGGCTTCCTCTGCAACATTCGGTGTTTGGCGTTTTGGGAGACGTGAAGTTGGGGTCGGGGAGATTTTCCTTGCCCATTTCTATTGCTTTTTCCGGTTGTTTTGATACCTGGATGTTCTGCAATGCGTTTACGGCACTGACAGGGTTGCATTGTCCTCTTCTTCCTCTAGCCTGTCCTCACCTGCCGGGGTTTATGTGACAGTCGAAGTGGAGAGGCAGGCCTTGCGTCAGCTTGCATCCAAGCATGGCACGACGCGAGACCAGGGCATAGGGAGTGGAGAATGAGCCCCGGTTGGCTTCCACAACCTCGCCATGTTAGCCGACATCTGTTGATTGTATGAGTTTATGAGATATCCCGGAACACGCGATGTATAGAGGCTATAGTAGCGCGTTTGCACGATTTGGCGTTTGCGATACCTTTTTCCGACTCGGCGCATATCTGTTTGTTTGTTCTTTTCGGCCGGCAGCAATCATCTAGACGAGTAAGCGTCTGGGTCATGGGACACATGTTTGGATGTACATGGACGGCCAGGGAGGTACTTTTTGAAATGATCCACAAGGATCAAGTTTACTCAGTCAAACTCGTAAAATGTTATATCTGTGACAATTTCATCATCATTGCCCTCTTGCCTCTACTTGTTCTGAGGATGATAGTCCTAGGGGTTGTGTAGACGACTTGGCTTTCGATGCCTCTGAACCAAGTCTAGAGATGGAGAAGGGGGTTGGGTCGAAAGGCATGGAGAGGTTAGGTTCCCCCGTACATGGATCAGATTGTTGGGTTGCACGAATCGGAGGCCAGCAGATGCCCGCAATGTCTCGTTCTCGGTAGGCGTGTTCGTATCATTCGGCCGGTCCTTGCGCCTCACGCCTTGCCGTCCCCACAAACGCGCAAGCCACTCTCCTACGTCAGTGGTCCAAGCATTACGGTAACTACTCTACGTCGGTGGTGTCACCTGTCATCATCACCAGAAACATGTCACATATCAGGTTGAAGACAAGCATAGTATCTTCGACCATGCCCAAAGCTCTCATCTTCGTCGCCGATGGCTCCGAGGAGATTGAATTCGTCACGCCTTATGATGGTAAGAGCCGGCCCCCTCCCCTCTGTCGCTGGAAGACGGCAATGGACGGTTGACAGATATGAGGGCATCCATCAACTTACCAATCCTCAGTCTTGACGCGTGCTGGTTTCGAGGTCACCTCGGTAGGCGTGAATCTCAACAATGAGGTCTTTGCCCAGTACGGCATCTTCCTCTTTCTCCAGGGTTTGAAGCATCACGTATACAACTAACCGCATCCCCAGCATGACGCGCAATGTTCGCATCGTGCCCGACCATGCGAATATGGAGTCTCTGGGCTGCATTCAAGCCCACGAGGAGTTTGACATTGTCATTCTGCCGGGAGGGGCACCAGGAGCCAAGACCTTCTGCGGCAGTCATCCGGTGCTCGACATGGTCAGCCAGTTTCGCAAGGCGGGCAAGTGGGTTGCTGCGATATGTGCGGCTACGACGGCGCTGGTGGCTGCGGAGGAGAAGCATGGGGATGGCAAGGTCAAGGTGACGAGTCATCCGAGTGTGGCGCAGGAGATCAAGGATGCAGAGTGGACGTATAGCGAGGAGAGGTGTGTGGTTGATGGGAAGGTGATTACAAGTCGAGGGTAGGTTCTGGTGGCAGAGAGATGGCTCCATGTCCACCACCTTTGCGATTTCTTTTTCGATTTTTTTTTTTCGCTGACTTATCTTATTAGACCGGGCACAGCCTTATTGTTCGCACTGACGATTGTTGAGTGCCTCGTAGGGAAGGAGAAGGCGGCGGAAGTGGCTGCACCTATGATGGTAGCTGAGACGCTGTGAGGATCGTCATCATGGACGTTGATGTGGAGTTCCAGTATGAGGGGTACCGTGTTTCCTTGCCAGGGTCATCAAATGTACAAAGTTGTAGCACATGGTGCGCATTGTACACCTTTCACAATCCGGGCATCTCTCCGACTTTGTACGTCTCTCAAGCAGTAGTAGTAGTTGTACACAGCACGGCATCTAGCGTTTCCAGTATCACGGTTGTGGAAACACATGCCAGGGCCGTGTAACGTCCGCTGAAGGGACTGGGAGATTGAGGCTGCTTATTCAACGATTGCTTACTGTACCTACTCAGGACAATGGTACAATGCAGTCGGAAGACAAGTTCGAACAGCGTGATATTGGCCAAGCTCCATGCACTTCCAGTCAGTTGGATGGTCGTGTGCGTGAGGCTACAGTCCCAACAGACGCGAATACCGGATGTTTTTTCTCTTTGACAAAAGAGGCCCATGTTCTCCCTCCTCTCCCGGGTCAGGTTGCAAGTACGTCCTCTGGAACGTCAAGCTGACAGACTGTAGCACGTGGATCTGAGGCACAGCATAAGCGCCAGACAACACTGTATACCTGATTTAGGTGCTGACCATGTGTAAGTAGGTACGCACTAGCGTCCTTGTCCCTCACATAACACTGGATACATGACGCGCATGCATGCATTCCCTTGGTAAAGCGACGAGACACCAGTTGACGGCTCTCGAGTAGCATCACCTCAGCGCTGTCCATCCTTCAAGTTGACATTGGGACACGTTGGTGTTGGTGTTGGTGTTGGTGTAGCCCAACACAACAATCGGGTGGGGCGTCTGGAAAATGAGGGACAGACAACCCGCACTCAACACTCAACCAACCGTACCGCGTAAGCGAAATGATGCGGGACGACGGCCGACGGATGGGGCGCCTGCCAGCCGCTTGCCGTCTGAACTGGAAAGGAGCTGCAGCGTCTTGTTTTTTTTGGGGGGGCTTTTGGCTTTTGGTTTCTCCACCCAGCCAGCTCCTCCTAACCAACTGCCAGTCCCAATGACCGCCGGCCTGACAGCTGGATGACACAGCAGCCACCAACACTGTGCTCCTCCTTGCGCTCTGATGATTGATGATGGGCTGTGTCAGGCCTCCAGTCCCCCCCCCCCCCCCCTCTTCGGCATCAATGCGTGCAACAGCAAAGGAAGCAGGGACGACGAAACTCCCCTCCCCCCCCTTGCGTGTACTAAGCTGGCCGGGCGTGGCTACTCTACCACACCCACACCACGTCGGAGCCGGAAGAGGGGGATGGTGCGAGACGATGGCTACTCGACTACAAGGTCGCGCCTTGGGACAGGGCAATGGCTACGCATTCAGCCAGAGACCATTGGCCAGACATCGAAGCGAGGCCCCAAGTTGAGATCTGCGGGCTCCATGCCCCAGTTTCTGCTACCGATGAAGTGGCCAAACGTTCCTTGCTAGCCGCCACGATGCTGGAGGCCCAAGACCGTATACCGTATAGCCACTGTAGACCGTATAGGCGGCGTATTGTCTGTTCATCGCAATACATACCCGAAAGACCCTGATCGATGGGAAGGATCGTTTTGAGACTGAGCTGTATGGCCCATCTGGGACCGTCTTCTAGGAGTATATAGCTAACGCGCATGCGCCCGTCTTTGGATGCCCCCCCCCTTGACCACACTACTTCTAACATAAGCAACCGCCCATAGCACCTGCCTGCTATTGCGCGCCTTGCGAGACGGCTGTGACGAGTACGAATAACATCAAGGCCGACCCCACTTCCGCACTGTGCATCACGTTTGGTTTCTACCACCAAGCCTACCATGGAGCTTCAAACCTACGCCGGGCTCTCACATACCCTCCAGACAACAGCCATTGCCCTTCTCATTTTCGCACTATGTACCTACTGGCCAAAACTCAAGGCCAAGGCGCAATTAGCCAAGCTGCCCTCTCTCCACGACTCCAAGCTGATGGGAGAGGATCAGCGTCAAGCCTATCTCCAGTCTTGCAGGAAGATGTACATGGAGGGCTACCAAAAGGTCAGATAGATATATGTACTAAGCGCACTTGGCTGGTGCTAATCAGACCATAGTTCAAGAAAGTAGTCTACCGCATCGTTGCGGAAAGCGGTATGTGTCCATTCTGTGATGCAGTGCCATGTACTCACTCGTCTCAGGAGAAACTCATATCGTGATCCCGCCCCATCTATTGCCTGAGTTGCGAAGACTCCCAGACGATGTCCTCAGCTTTCCCAAGGCTGTTGAAGAAGTCGGTGTGCCCAAACTCTCTCTGCTTTAGTCCCCGCTGACTGTGTCAAGAGCATGGAAGTCAAATACACAAAGATCTTGACAGAATCAGACCTCACTCTTCACAGCATCAAAGCAGATCTGACCCCGGCACTTCGTAGGTTCTCTATAGCGTAGCTGTCCGACATGCTTGGCTGATGATGTGAAAGCACGATTGAATCCCATGATATGTGAAGAAGTCGATGCCTCACTGCGACAATACATGCCGCCTTGCCCTGATTGGACAGAGGTGAAGATCAACAAGGTCCTCGTCGACATCGTTGCCAGAGTCTCCGGTCGCATCTTCGTCGGGCCTGAGCTGAGCGAGGACCCCGCCTACCTCGAAGCAGCCAGCAACTACACGATGGATCTCATGATGGCCGTCAACCGGGTCAAGACGATGCGACCCTGGCTCCGACCATTCTTGGCCAATCGCACCAAAGAAGTGCGCCAGCTGCGCGAGCGTGAAGTACAAGCCCAACGCTACTTCAAGCCTCTGATCAACGAACGCATCCACGCCAAGAAGACGGACCCCAACTGGCAAGCTCCAGACGACATGCTACAGTGGATGCTCAACCGCATGACGGACAAGGTGCCCGTTGCTGAAGTGGCACAGGCACAGCTCGGCCTTACCTTTGCCGCCATCCACACCACCACCCTGACGGCTACAAATATCCTCTTCACCCTCGCCGTCACACCAGAGTACATGGAGCCCCTTCGCGAGGAGATCCGCAATGCAATGGCCGATAATGACGGGAAGATTACGACGCGGACACTGCAGCAACTCGTCAAGTTGGATAGTTATATGAAGGAAGTTAGTCGCTTTCACCCGGCTGGAGTTAGTATGTCATCCATCCCATCTTGATCCTACGTCCTCTACCTCCATTACAGCGAAACACACACACACACACACACACACACACACACACACACACACACACACACACACACACACACACACACACACAAACTAACATCCCCCAGCCTCATTCAACCGCCGCGTCCTAAAAGGCATCACCCTCTCCAACGGCCAATACATCCCCCCCGGCGTCCTCCTCGAAACCCCCGCCCAAGCAATCTCCTTCGACCCCGCCTACTACCCCAACAGCACCACCTTTGACGGCTTCCGCCACGCCAAACTCCGCGCCGCCGGCACCGGCACCGACCACGCCCGCAACCAATTCGTCACCGTAAACGAAATCAGCCTCGGCTTTGGATATGGTCGCCACGCCTGCCCCGGTCGCTTCTTCGCGACCAATGAGATTAAGATGATTTTGGTGCGCTTGATTCTTGCGTATGATGTTAAGATGCCTGGGGGGAGGAGGGAGCGGTGGGAGCAGATTGAGTTGGGGAGGAGTAACAGTCCGGATGCGAGTAAGGGGTTGTTGTTTCGGAGGGTGGAGGTTTAGGGTTAGGTTTGGGGGCTGAGGGGTGGAGAGGGAGAGAGCTTGGAGGCATGTCGTATGCTGTGCGAGTAAGTAGCAAGAAGGACTTTACCGTCTTCCCATCTTCCTGCTCTTCTCTTCTTATAACACTATGACATTATCACGCTTTCTTGTCCCCTGTCCCTAGATACTAATACATGACGCATTCCTGCCCATCTATTATACTTGTTCCTTGTCCCTTTCTTGACGTGAAATGAGCATTTTCCTTTTTATTCTGTATTCTTTATTCTTTATTCTTCATTCTTCCATTTTTACGATTGAGAGTAAGAGTGAGAGTGAGAGTCAGAGTGAGAGTGAGAGTGAGAGTGAGAGTGAGAGTCAGAGTGAGAGTAAGACTGTGCCTTTTTAAACTAATAAATTAAAAATCAAGTCTACCAAGGGATTTAGACATCCTTAATTACTTCTTACTATCTTTCTTGTGTGCAATTCTTATGTGCAATTCTTGTGTGCAATTCTTGTGTGCAATTCTTGTGTGCAATTCTTGTATGCAATTCTTGTATGCAATTCTTGTATGCAAATTAAACTCCCTGCCCTATTGCTCGTTCTAGCCTACCTAGCCTGGACATGCTCTCTCTCTCTCTTCTCTCTCTTTCTCTCTTTCACACACACATACACATACACACGTTAGGCGGAAGATGTCACCACGCCCTACACCCGTAGAATACCGGATGAAGATGGATGAAGCGCTCTAATGCCGCGTGAATGTGTTTGCTGGTGCCTGTTAAACGGGGCCAGTATCTGCAATGTAGTTACAATACATACATGGGCGTGCAAAGCTCCATGCAAAGTCCCCAGACAATGTGTCCACATGGATTTCACATTCACAATGCATTTTCATTCTTTGGCAACATCTTCATCAGAGAGCAAGACGCACAAGATGAGATTTCTTCATTCTCGTGTCATGGTTCTCACAAGTGAGCTAGGCACAAGTCTTTACGACCTCGCAGTACTCACCGCAAGCCATGGGTTTCAGCTCAGTTGGAGTAATTACATATAGAAGCCCACAACTCAAAGGGCCTTATATGCTCAACGCCATGATGGAGTTGACAATGTCATTGTCGTTTTCCTTGAGAGCCTTGACCGCCTTCTTCCTCGAGACACTGGCCTGCTGCATGACGAGCTCGATATCCTTGGCCTCGATGCCAGAGTCATCAACCTCGTCGTCGTCGTCCTCTTCCTCTTCCTCCTTCTTGTCCTCGACGGCCTTACCCTTGCCCTTGCCGTGGTCGTGGTCATGGTCGTGGTCGTGGCCAGAGTGGTCGTGCGAGGCTGCCTCAGCCTGGGCGATTTGCTGCGCGGCGGAGGCTTGGGCCTGCGAGTTCAAGTCCTCAATCTTGGCCTCACCGAAGATGCTGGTGCGGGGTCAGTATGGCGGGGGTCGGGCCATGGGGGGAAAACTTCGACGGAGCTTACATCCAGGTGTTGCTTGAGGGGGACTTGTAGACGTCCGGCTGGTTGATGACGAAGAGGATCTGGGTGGGATTGTTAGACGCCGAAAATTTGAAGACGTGGTGGTGCGGGGAGGTTCTGCCTGCAATGGCGGCTTCGCGATGCCCCTCCCCTCCTCCACCATTGCGTGTTTTGTTTGACGTGCACTCACGTTCTTGGGCCTGCGGAGGGTGACGCGTGTGATGCCCTCAATGTGCTTCAATCCGAGTTTGGCAATGGCCTTGCGAGCCTTCTTCTCGTTGCGAGAGTGGACGGCGACGGAGGCGCCCGTGGGGATGTTGGCCTCGCCCTCGTCGCCCTCAGACTCGTCGCTGGACTCGTCCTCCTCGATCTGGACATTCTTCTTCTCGGGCTCGTCGGCGATCTCTTCAATGCGGGGGTTGGCCATGATTGTCGAATGTGGTGAGCTGGTCGTGGTGGTTGCTGCCCTGCGCGTAATTGGGGTCGTAGCGGGCCAGAGTGGGAATTTTGGCGAGTGCGAGTGTGGGTGGTTCCGGTTAGCGCGAAGAGCTCCGAATGACGAACATTATAGGTATTGCGACCGACGAGCAGTCACCTTCACCATGGAATAATAATCATTACATTGTAAATTTGTGGCAAGTCAGACATATCACTAGCGAAATAAACACGCCTTCAATGGGGTATCAAATTTTGGCAGCTCTCATTGTGGTCTTGGCGCTTTCATGAATTTGTAGATTGGACTCTCTTGCTACACGTAGAATGCATGCGAGAGCCGAGTAAACCTTCCCATCCGAATTGCACCTTGTTAAACATTGGACTTATTCACCCGAAATCAGGTCTTGAATTTTTGAATGCCTTGAAGGACCTTCGGAATGCTCATGAAAATGCACGTCGTGCCTCGCAGTCACCTGCACGCAAAAACCACCGGAACGCTTTGTCTCCCGACAACATCGAAACTACCTATGCCTTTGCACTGGCGCGGATCTTGGCAAAAGTCTTCTGGACCTCGTGGCGGGCCTGCATGTATCGTTAGCTCCATGGCTCATAGCTCAAAGATCATGTGCATCTGCATCTCTACCACCATCCCACAAAGGACGTGGTGCAATGCATGTCATGCGATAGACGTACCTGCTTCCTCAACTTCATGACCTTGAAGCGCTCAAAGTCGTTCAGTGCCCGTCTCTTGGTGAGCGCCGCGCGCTTCTTTGCCCATGCGCTGTCGTCAAACTTCTGCTGGACCTTGTGCTCTTCCCACTTCTTCGCAACGTGGCCTACACCGCTGGCGCGGGGAAGCTTGGGAATGACAATGGGTGTGAGGGAGAGTTTTGCGAGGGCGACTTCCTGACGGGGGACAGGTGCCTTCTCGGTGGGACCGTCGACGAGGACCTGTTTACACTGTGAGCTGCGGCTCAATTTGCACTGGGTCGCGGGCAATCCATACACGCTTGTGGTCGATGATCTCGACAATGACAGCGAGACGACCCTCGTATTGGCCTTCATTGAAGAGGACCACACGGCCGACCTCTACAAGCCTCCAGGCACTCGTTGTAATGTCGGCGTCACCCATTTCGTCGGTTTGTGCTGCAATTGCGAGTTAGATCGGAAAATGGCAGAGCAGAGCGGTGGTATCGAGAGCGTACCGGTCGGAAATAGGAGTCGGTGTTGATGTTCTGGTGCGGGAGTGAACTCTTGCCGAAGACGATAGTCAGAAATTCATGTGTGTCCGTGGACGCTAGGGACGTGTGGTCGGGGTTTCGCTAAAGCCTTGGCGGCGAGAACAACTTTCTTCTCTCGCGCCAGTCTCGTGTTTTTCTCTCACCACCAACAACCATCAACCAACAACCAATGTTTCTGGCATGCCACGTGCAAGCTCAGGCCTACTGTCGCTGTCGCTGAGATCTATTATCTGACGACGCCTGCTTTTTGACTGCATCTGTAGCCTTTCTTACTGACTCCATCCGCATCGTGGCACCGCATCCGCAGCTCTAGCCTCACTGGTAAGTCCCTCGCTTTTCCACTTATCCTCTTTTCTCAATATGATGACATAATTTGCGATTGAGTTCCTCGTCGGAGACCCTCGCCGGGGTCTCTCAACGGCGTTGAATTTATGATATTCAATTTCTTACATATTCTGAACCGTTACCCCTAACTTCAGCCTGGAAGACTCTGCATTGTGGACACGGATTCGAACTAATCACAAACAGACACCGCGTAGCCCCACAGCTTCATAGCTATATCGCCATCCTTCGTAGACCTGCACACCGCTCAGCTAGACTAACATCAGCTCGGCATATTTGACATCATCCTTGGTAAGTTGTCGAATTTTCTACTCATGCACCCACCCCCTTCCGATGATTACAACATGCAATAGATAGTATATGATCTCTCTCTATGATTACCTTCTTATCACCAAGATCACTGAGGAAGAACACAATCGAGCATCTGTTCAGCATTATAATGGTCAACCAGATTGCTAACAAGCTCGCAGAGTATACAGCAAAGCATCATGAACACGGTTGCACATGGCTCCACTTCGGTTCTCTCCTCTTCTTAGAATATATTCGTTCTTACAATTCATGCATCCTCTCTCTTTAAACTTGCTAAGACCGTTGTCGTGTCGGTGTTGTGATGCGTCTCCCATAGTTTTGATAGAGCTTCTCTAATAGCTCCCTCACCATGTCGTTGAAACTTGTCCTCGTGTCGAACTTGCTGCCACCATATGGAAAGCTTACAATCTTGCTCCAATCTGAATCCTCTTCGAAGAAGAACTCCAGTGCAAACTCCTCGGCGTCCTTGAGCATGCCCGTGAGCACATTTCCTCTCTCGCCATGCGCATCAGCCCAGGCCCAGAGCTTAGGATCGTGAAAATCCAGCGTCTCTCTAGACATATAGTGACCGAGGATCTGCGCATTGAAGAGCAGATGGCGTAGCATGTTGATTGGACAATCGCATTGTATGACTGCGTATCTCAGGATGTCGGTGGAGATAGCTTTCGCGATACCAAGTAATACCGCCAATGCAGCCACTGCATATTCGTTCCCTTCTCTCAATGCTTCCTTGATGCCAGTCTTGGCGACCTCCCCCGCCATACTACCTTCCCAGTCAATCTCACCGCTCAAGCTCACGAGAACATACAGCAGTGAAGCCTTGTCCTGTGTCCACGGTCCATGTAGTAGTTTTTCTGGAATGTGGAATCCCTCTGCGAAGCCCAAGTAGGAAATCTGATTGAACTTGTACGGCCACAGTCCCTCAAAGACTTCCACGCCCATCACACGAACACCCGTCTCCTTCCAGGCTTTCCCTCGTAGCTTGATCAAGGCGTCATGTGCACGGTGCACGTAGGCGAGGAAGAAGTCAAAGGTGAAGAATCGACTCGCAATCACTTCGGATTGGAGCCCTGCATCGCCAATGCAATTCCGGTTGCGATCCCGGTAGTGCGTCTTGTGATCGACTGTTTGAAAGAAAGATTGCATGGTGAAGTCCATAGTCACTTTCCGAGACGACAGTTTCCGGCCCAGGGTTGGTGAACATCGTGGGAGGGCAATGTTCATGCTCTGCAGGAAGATGATTTCAAGTAGTTCCTGTGGGAGGCCTTGGAGTGTCGGCATGGCGGGCGTGGCAGTGGGTTTCTTGACCTTGGGTCTCTTGGGTCGTTTTGCTGTATATGTTGATTGTGTAGCTGTTGTTTGTGAAGACAACTGTGCGGTTGACTGGACTTTCTGGTGCAGACTCAGTGCAGAGTGTTTCCGTTTTTTGCCTCGAATCTTGATCGGTGTGAGGTCCATTGGCGTCTTAAGTAATAAGAGACGTTGCACCAGGCAGCAACCCCCCAATCTGTATGCAATGCGAATGGAATAGGAATGGCTCCGCGTCACCTAGGAGTGGTTGGGTTGGTTTGCGCCTCACTTGACGCACGGATCAGCTGTGGCTTTGCCGCGGCGGTTGGAGTGTTTCCTACCTAGGGTTAACTTTGTGTGTTTCCGCGTTCAACTCAATCAGTATAAACAAGACACTGAAGATTCAAGAACCGCAACAAAGCCGCGACGCGGGATCTTCACAGCTACAACAAGCGCGACGACAATACGGACGAAGATGCAGGTCCACGCAGTGCCTGATTCGGAGCGCGCATTCGATTCGACAGGGAGGAAGCTACCTTGGGCGTATGAGTTCGCAGAGTAAGTCGATCAGCATCTCTGTTGTTATTGTCAATCATTCTATTTGTGGAATTGAAGTTCGGGGAGAGAGGAGAGATGAGATTCTTATGAGAATCCTAGAGCAGTTGCCTGTAGCAGCGCGACCGCCAACCAGACTGCTACATACAGCCAGCCTCCGACATGGGAAAGCACACAAATAACTAACAGGACTCAAACAGCTCCGACCAAAATCAACGGCGCATCCCAGAGGAGAGAGGACCGTTTGGCAAACCCAGACAACGCGGTACATCACGAGCCAAAACCCCAACCACCAAAAGCGACGCCGACAAAGCCCAAAGCGATAACCTCCGTGCAATCGACGACATCTTCGGCCGCTTCAAACAAGAAGAGGAGAAGAGACGTTCTCTATCCGCCCGCCCAAACACTGCACTCCCACCCTCTGCATCAGCGCCCAATCTTATTGACGCTAGCAACGGTCCAACTACGTCCTTCGGTCCTGGCGCATCCGCCAGCGCAGCCCACTCCCGCGAGCCCAAAGAAGTCATTCTCTATGGCTACGGCCCAGACGCGCAATGGGCGGCGATAGCACACTACGAAAAAGTGTCCAATGGCATCATCTACGAGGAATATGACCGTGAGCCGTACAATAATAAGTTCGGGTACGCGTTTGCCTCACAGCGTGCCTCGCATTACCGGGCACTGTCCAAGTCTGCGCTGAGGAAAATCAATGAGTTTGTGGGCGGCGATCACTGGATCAAAGTGACATTTGACAGTGCCGAGGCGGCGGAGATGGCGTGCCATTACAGTCCCAAGAGCATACAGGGCTGGTTGGTGTACGCGGAAATGTATAGGGGTACTCCACCGACGATTGGGGACGTGGCGTTACGGGCAGAGGCCGGCGGAGCCAGCCAGACTGCGTCGCCGAATACAGTGTCGAGTGGAACTCTGATGTCGGGCACTACCTCTACATCGCAGTCTTCCACCACGGCGTCCTCGGCTACGGCAACAGCTGCAGCACCGGCTTCGCATGCTGCAGGTCTCTCTCGCTCAATCACCGAGCCAGCATTCATGCGAAGAAGCGGCGCATTCCCTATAAACGACTACGACACGCCGCTTGATCAGGCACACATCCCATCATCCCAATCCCAACTCTTCAACAACAACAACAGCAACACCACCACCAACCAAATCCCCACCCCCCAACCCCCCTCCATCACTACAGCCACAAACCCCCGCCCAAACCGCGCAACCCTCCGCCTCAGAAACGCAAAACCAGCCCCCTTCCTTCCCCCAGAAAAAGCCTTCCTTCCCGCAAAACCCCGCTGGCAACAAACATTTGGCTCCTGGCCTGTCCTCGGCTGGATCATTGGCTCCGGCCACGGCTTGATTGGCGATCAGGTGCCTAGGAAGGAAGACGGCTCCTTTGATCTCGCGGGCGCGAGTTTGTACTGGCGGCTTTGGTATATGGTTGATGGTTGTCTTGGATCGGATTTTTGTGGGGTGAGGGATGCAGAGTATGATGATTGAGTAGATGATGGGGGTGTTTGGGGAATGGAAGGGGGAGGTGGAGTAGAGGAGGGGCGTCAATGGAGTATGGAAAGGGAAGCATTGGGCGGCGTCTTTACGATTTTTTTTTGCAATGAAACATGCCAGACTCTGGGGGCATGGGTTTGGTTGGGTTATATTTCAAGTATGGAATTATGTCGGCTCAGTAAATTGAGAGCGTAGAAGAGACACAAGTTGAATTAATTCACGCATGGTAATTAAGCGGTGAGCAGTACGCAATACTATTTCAAGATGCTAACGCCGACGCCCATGAGAGTGTATCTAGTAATATAAGACCATCGTGTATCATATCAGCATCTCCACTTCCGCACCACACACACCCCTATATGATCTCCCCATCTCCTCTTATTACAACCCTGTCTCCTCCCTGTTGACGTTGCATCTAGACATACTGACTCAACCATCTGATAGCCTCTCCGTAGCCCTGTCTCATGACAACACTGCACATGAAGACCTCGACGGGACGGATGCCCTCAAGCGGCACCTTGCCCTTTCCAGTTGTCTGGTACAGACCAAGGGCAGCGCGAAGCTGGTCCTCGCTGACGGCGTCGGGGTGGTCGATCTTGTTACCGAGGATGACAAAGGGAGTCGACTTGAGCTCGTCCATTGCGAGAAGAGCGTCGAGCTCGGCCTTGGACTCGGTGAGACGCTCGTGGTCCTTGGCATCGACGAGGAAGACGATGCCGCTTACTTCCGGGACTGTTTGTAGGTGTCAGCACTCTTGAAGGGAGCCTTGTATGCGTGGGAGGACGGACAGTAATCGCGCCAAAGTCGACGGGCCTGTGCGTGACCTCCGAGATCGAAGGTGGTGAACTTGACATTGCCTATTGAGAGTTCCTCAGAGGTTGGGTGGAGAGTAGGCTGGCTGGTGGGTTTGTTAGTCAGGGAGGGAGAGGACTTGATTTAGGGTGTGACATACAGGACTGCCACTCTGTCGTTCTTGAGCATGTGAAGGAGCCTATAAGAGTAAACGGGTGGTCTGTCGGTCAACAGCGATGGTCATACGTGGTCTTTCCAGCATTGTCACTGCATCTAGTCAGCTTTACACGTTGGGGGGATATTGGGGATATGGCAAACGTACAGTCCAAGGAAGAGCAGCTTAGCATGCTGTTGGGTGGTGTGGCGTCAGCGTGGATGATCCGATATCATGCATCATGGTGACCGTTACCTTGTTCATAAGACCAAGCGAGGACAAGACATCCCAAACTGTAGCTTCGTATCAGCCATCTTTGCCATCTTTACTCGAGGCGTGATCTCGAGGGAATCGAGTATCGAGGAACGGCAAAGGAAGACGGGACGGAAGGTGTTGGGCTTTGTACATACACCTGTTAACACGTTAGTATAAATCATGCCGGAGTGGTGCATCAAGTCAAGTCACTAACCAATCAAGGATCCACATGATGACAAGAGGATATTGTATGCGTGCAGGTTTGGGGTGTGGCGTGGCAGTTGACAGATGTCGGGTTAGGGAACAACAACAACTTGGGGAAGAAGTTCGGGACTGTCTTTGAGGCCTGGAGGCGGGCCTTGTCCGGGGCGGGCGTGAAGTTGGGTTGGCCCGGGCGTGATTCTGGTTGGTCCTTGGCGACAGCGTTCCGAGCTTCTCGCGAAGAACTTCAACCATTGTCACCAACCCGCCCATCCCACCACCACATCCGCCCCCCGCAATCCATCATAATGGCCGTCGGAGTACGTTCGCCCTCCTTTCCCTGCACCGTGGGCACATAGCCCGTCCCCTATTGCTGCCCCCGCGGCGCTCCCCGGCCCGCAATGGCATTCCCAGCAACAACAACCCCCCCCCCCCCCGGAAAAAGCGCACAACAGAACATGGCTAACGCTTCCCCCCCTCTACAGCGCAGCGCAGCCCTCAAGCTCGACTGGACCAAGCTTGGTTCGCAGCTCGGCCTCAAGGGCCAAACCGCCGCCGCCCTCCAAGCCTTCAAGAAGCGCAACGACGATGCGCGCCGCAAAGTAGCCCTCCTCTCGGAACAATCGCAAACGGTCGACTTCGCCCACTACCGCGGCGTGCTCAAGAACCAGTCCGTCGTCGACGACATCGAGAGGCAGTTCAATGCCTTCAAGCCCCAGACCTACGACGTCGGCCGGCAAATCAAGGCCATTGAGGCATTCGAGGCCCAGGCCATCAAGAGCGCCGAGGAGACCAAGATGGTCGTGGACAAGGAGCTGGGTGACCTGAACAAGACGCTCAAGAACATCGAAGATGCCAGGCCATTCGCGGACCTCACCGTGGACGAGGTTGCCGAGGCCCAGCCCGAGATCGACAAGCGCACCGAGCAGCTCGTTTCCAAGGGTCGCTGGGCTGTGCCTGGCTACAAGGCACGTTTCCTGTCCTGCCAATGGGCTCACAATCAACCATGTGCTAACAGCCCCGTAGGAGAAGTTTGGCGACTTGTCCGTCCTCTAAGCCTCTTCTTGTTGAAATGGAGCCAACATGTACCCAGTCTGGGTTGTATTACCTACGTACTTGTGAATAGTTCCAGAGAGTGGAAATGCATCCTAGATTTTGACCATTTTCTGTTTCCACATTTGCAGTACGTTTTACATGTTGCTGACAAAATCATGCTCTGAGACGACTTTGCTGCACACGTTGGTATGCATGCGGATAACTAGTATAGGTTGAAGCCTGATGGACTGATGGACTGACCTTGGGACGTGATAACTAATTTCCCCTGTCATTCCCTCTAGTAGAGGTGTACGATAAATTATGGCAACTCGCTCAACCGTACCACACACATCTAACCACAATTTCCACTGCCTCACGCTGCATCTCCAAGCATGTCAAAACACCCAGAAACTTCGCCTAGATATGGTATACTGTAGTACACCTACCATAATCCCTTCGCCACCCATCCCCTCAAATAGTCTTCCTCCCCCTTGTACCCCCCAACCCCCAAGCTAAAACACACCGATAACCCGCCATCCCGCTGTCCTCCCTTGTTGATTGTCGTACCTGGTTCCGCCCTGTGATGTGTGCATGCATGCGTGTGTGCGGACCTGGATTATACGAGCAGATACGCGGCTGGGGATGTGCAAAGAGAGGAGAGGAGAGGTAGGAGGTGTGTTGTGCAATGGAGGCGTTGGGACGCTTTTTCATTAGATGAGAGTATTGTATGCCATGCGGGGGGTGTGCGGTGGTGGATGCTTTTTTAAGTGCTCTGAATAGATGGATGATTAGATGGTCAGATGGATGGAGGTGACGATGCGATTCGCGAGAGATTGACTGCAAGATGTTAGGTACCGGTATGCATCGGATGCTGTGCATTGGACATGTGCAATGAAAATATAACGACGCCATATACTACCAAATGTGCCTGCAAGACAAGCAGCACAACATGACTTCACAGAACACGACATGGCCTGCAGTACCTGCTCACAAGTGGGGAAGGTGTCACTAAGCCATTAAACCACAGCACTGTAGTACACGAGCTAAAACGTACCGGTAGATCTGTCAGACGTAGGTACGGTAAAAGTAGCGTAATACAAAATTCACCTACGGCTAAGAGCACCGGAACTTCTGAAGTAAAGTGTTGATATCAAAGCTGTAACGGGACAACTGGGATGGACCCAGCGGGACATAATATAGTTTCTACAATCGTGAATTATCACGACAACGCACATAAGATTGTCTGACTGCATGCCAGGGGATGTGAGAACTGCTGGCTAAGTAACGGCTACTTATAAACCTATCGCGTCTATACTCGGTGTTTGTCCTACGAATATGAGATGTAGAGGTTCGTTATGCAATGTTTGCTATGTACCTACCTGCTGCGTTCTTCGGAAGCAATACCATAATTGTCATATTTTGATGGGGAAACATGCGCGGGTATACCGGTACCGATACCGCGAACTACTCATGCGCTCGGGTAGTTTGAGTATCATGTGATTTGCCACTGCTACATCCTGGCTATTTTCATAGCACAAGACAAGTAACGTGATCCTCAAACTAGCCGAGATGGCTAGTAGGATACCCATCTTTTCCGACGCCCAGGTGCTCCGATATGGCTTACACAGTGGACAGATTTGGTAGTTGTGCACGCAGAAATATAAAGCTGTCTAAGTTCATGAATATATGCATATCTACTATGACTTGTTAGCCATGCACGTCTACCTACCTCTAAGCTTAAAGATGCCCATTCTAGCGCCATCTAACTTATCCTACCACGACCATCACCGCCAACATTTCAAATACACATTTCACCTTATCTTGGTGAGTACGGTTTAATATGATTACGCCGAGATGGTCAGGCCTACGGCTGCTTTTACTTTCTACCACGTACTGTAGATCCTGTACCAGCTATAGTGCTCACTGTCTCACTCGGCTCTTCTTCGATACAATGACTATGGGAACTACCGATGCGACCTATCGTCACGATTCCTGCCTACCCTCTGTCGGTATCCAAGCAAGGATCCAATGCGCTAACTCTGAAGTATAAGACTGTGACAAATTGTATTATTTTATAAATAGAGTTGTGCATGGACTAGGGATTTGTATATATTTTCGTTGATCCCTCCGCTCTTTGTAACTTGACTCTGGGCCGTAAAATTACAAGTACATTTTACACAGCATTCATACCTTCCTCAACCTATCCTATTACCACACCCATAAGGCTGCATCACCTCATTTGTGCCAACACAATGCAAATCAGCAATCTCTTTGTGACAACTCTGCTGCCTATTCTGTATGCATACCTCTTTTCTCAAGCCTCACTGCCATCCTTCCACTAACCATCAACAGCGCGCACGCAGCATCGCAAAGATGCCATTGTGATATCGACTTGAACGACACGTGCCAAGCTAGAGCATGCGATGGCTATGACATAAGGCAGATAGACAAATACCAGTCCCACGATGATAAGAGACTAATATCAGCACTTTGGGACAAATCGGAGAAGGTATGTTTGATACTGAAACACAGTCTTGTAAATCTTACTGTCTTGATACTTACCATGGGATGCAGAAATGTATGATGCAGGATTTAGGCCTTAAGCCTGTTGCGGAGCTTAATTGGGACAGGTATAATACAGAGTGTTGGGGCCAATGTAAAACGCAGGCAATATGCACTTGAGCTTGTGATGAATTGGAGAGGTTGTCGACACATAAGTACTCTTTTTTTCCAGAGATCTATTCGCGCTAGGTGTATCAACTTCTCCGAGCCAATTCAATTCTTTTTTCAATCAAAAGGTGCGCTTAATTGGTCTTCAATGCGCATGCATCAGTTTGGGTGTAACATGTTTGCCGCAGGAGCCACCAATGCCCTGTCAGGTGGTTCCAATTATTTTCCATTCATTAGTGTATCCCCTCTCTCGCCAGGGCACTTGCCCAGTGACGACGGATACAAGCTGGCCAACTAACTACCTACGCTGACAAGACAATACTACATAGTTACACCTACCGAAAGCCCCTCTCCCCTTCCGCCTCAGAGACAACTCCTTTTGCTTGTAAGACAAAGAGCAGGTGCCGCAGTCATACAATAACAAACAACGCCATACGACCATATTATGCGCAAGTGGCGTATATACATGATATCGTGATAAACATACAAACGTTAAGGAGTGTTTTCGCAAGGGAGACGAGACTAATGAAAAGACCAAAATTGCGCTAGTTGGAAAACAGGCATTAATTCCTCCTTACATGATCATCTTCCCTTCATTAATCACAGTCATAGTTGACCATCCCCACTTCGAACCAAGGAAAAGCTACTGGCAATGCAAGGCAGGACGCTCCATCGAAAGACGTTGGCGACGAAGAGGAGGATGAGGACGAGGAGTAGCTCAACAATATTGTGTACGGTACGAGCTTACAACATGGCGAAGAGACCGAGGAAACCGGCGGCAAGGGCACTGAAGCTGGCAAAGCTGGTGGAAGCTGCACCTGTGAATTCAGGCATAGCGGGCATGGTGGGGCTGGTGACATTGCCAGTGGCAATGGGAGCCTGGGGTTGACCGTCGCTGATCTGGGACACAACAGCTGTCGGGGCTTGGACCTGGCCATCGGAGATCTGCGACACAACACCAGTAGGGGCTTGTGGCTGGCCATCGGAGATTTGAGAAACGACGGGGGTAGCGGTGGGACCCTGGGGCTGGCCGTCACTAATCTGGGACACAACACCAGTTGGGGCCTGAGGCTGGCCATCAGAGATCTGGGAGATGGCAGGGCCGGCAGAGCTAGCTTGAGGCTGGCCGTCGGAGATTTGGGAAACGGCAGGGCCGGCAGAGGTGGCCTGGGGCTGGCCGTCAGGGATTTGAGAGGCACCACCGCCGGGGGCGTTGACGGCTTGCATGTGGATCTGGTTGCACTGTTCGCCGGTGGATTGGCTGTAAAGGTTGTAAAAGGTACCGGACAGGCATTGGTAGAAGACGGTTGAGCCGCCGAGGGCCAGCGACTGATTACCGCAGAGGGAGAAGCCTGAGGTCTCGCGGGCACCAGCCTGTACTGGGTTGTCGAATTGGAACCTGAAATGCTGTTAGTATAGAGAACCATTAGACGTGGTTTAGGACAGAGCGTACTGGTAGTTCGAGGCAATGTATCCGATACGACCAGCCTGATCCTTCAATTCACCATCGTTGAGAGTGAGAGTAAGAGTTCCAGCAAGCTGACGAGCCTCGATGCTACGCTTGGTAGAGGAGGTAACTTTGACAGGCGAGACCTGGAAGGATCCGGGAGCAGAAGATGCGCAACCTTCTGGGGAAGAAGTTTGAGGCAGGGCCACGGCAGCAGCCACAAGACTGATAGCAGCAAAGGACTTCATTTTTAGAGTACGGTCGAGGGTAGTGGATTAATAGCGGTATTAATGTATGTTGCGATTGAAAGCGACAGAGGACAACGATGATGGATGACTGATGAACGAGAGATCAGTCACTACTTATTGTACGATTGATGTGAACGTTGACAGGTAACCACGACAACGAAAGTGTGAGACTATGGCAGCAAACGGACGGGGACAGTAAGACAGATAAATACCTTCACACGCCAGCCCCATGTTTAGTATGTGAACCTGCCTAATCGGCTATGACACCGCAGATCGTATGCGTCAAAGAAGCACAGCGCTCGAGCCAAGCCCTTGATGTACAGCACGCGTCAAGGTAAATCGACAATCGCCTAGCTTCACGCTTCCCACTGTCAGAGAGAGGCTGGAGGAGCACTGTGCATGTCCTGTATCGATAGACTCTGTGGAGCAAGGTATGTCTCATTGGACGAACACATTCACCCGACCCCTCCCTAGTCTCTCCCTGCTTGGAATGCGCGTGAGCAGAGGCCGTTCCCGCCTCTTCGTTCGACTGCCCTTGGCTGATTTCAGCCGGCGAACCTCGCTCCTCAGATTGTTTCCGCGGATGCATATAAGACGGGTAGTAAATAGAGTAGGTAAGACCAAAATCTTGGTTCTTGGACCAATTCTGAATACCGCTCATCTTGAATGACTGCAGTCATGTATACGACCGAGCAAGAAGAAGCTCCACATGGTTTTGTCGTAAGACTTGCATGAAAATGGGCTGCGGTACGCAACCATTTCAGACAGCTGTTGAACCGTCAGCTCCACGAAAGTTTTGGGACCATCATTCCCCGGTATTTGTTAGCGCTGTATGAATCAATCTATGTGCATATTGGGGATCTTTTGTAGCGTGTGGCGAATCACGCCGCTTTGACGCCTCCCCGCCATTTGTCCAACGGGCCATTCGCTGACAAGGCATAATGATTGCATGCAGTTGCCGTACTATGCGGACAACACGCTTGCGCAAGCGGAGACTGAAGTCTTGGACAGCGAGCATGGGATTGGTGTTGAAAGGGTGAATTGCCCTTAGTGATGTCAAGACTTGCGTCTCGATTAGGCGAAGAGCTTACTACGCTAGCGTACTTTGTGGGGTACTTGATTGTGGCTTTCGCCTCCGCGCAATGCCCATCACTCGCTCTTTATTGTGGAACTACTTGTTGGGACGCTTTGGAGCGCCTGGAGACGGGCTTGCGCATGCTATCGATACTCTGCCGCGTACCTAGTATCTGGTACTTGGTGGGAGAGAGAAAGTAAGCACCGAAAGTATCAGCCTTTGAATGCAAACAGATTTGCCTGACTCTCCATTGTCTGACCCCAGGATTGCCTGGCAAGTCCTGTGTAACTACAAAAGCTTGGGGTTTCAGGGAACAAGAAGAATGCTTGGCTGGGACCATCGACGATAGATTAGTTTGTTACTTCAACCTTGCAGGGCGGTGGGCAAGGGACGCGCAAGCCACACGGGCTGGATGATCGGTGTTTGAGGGCGAGTGAACGATCGGATTTCACAATGGCAAAAGCAACCTGATTCGTACTAAGACTTGCAGTTTGTCTGCATGACAATGTACTTTGAATCCATCAAGCCTGCCATGCAGCATGCTAAACCTTTGAAGACATGCTACATACGCATGCTGTGGATTTCAAGTCACAATGCAATCCTCCACTACGATGCAGGCCGAAACAATGACTTTTGCGACATTTACTACCCACGGCCTTGGTGATGGTTTAAGCCAGCATACCACCATGATCGATTGACGTCACACACACTTCGGTTTCCGGTCTCTGTGCCGCACTGCCTTGGCGCCTAACGTAGCCCGCAAAGCACTTTGTGTCAATAGCGAGGTCCTGTGTATCGCGGTATTATGCTCGGGGTAGAATTGGGGCAGACTGGATGCGAAGTCGCAGATTTCAGTCTCGCTGATGGTCACTGTCTCCAGGATCCCCACTCCAACGTACCTATCAACAATGTCATGCTCACCATGGCTACAAACTCTGCTGGCAGAGGACGATCTTTGAGGACGGGTAAAGAGCACCGTTCGTCTATCGCGATCTCTTTGACCTTGTTAGATCCTTGTTCAAACATGGTACGGTACACCACCAAGTTAGCCGCAACCGCTTGTTGGCCATCTGCAGGGACTCGTGGCTCCAGCCAGGTTAACTTTTCCAGCGATCAACGTTTAACAAGAGATTTCGAGAGCCGCATCCGTCTTGACCTATGACACAATTACGTCTTGAGCATTATCATACCTGCATCTTTGGACAGTGCCTCGGTCTTGATGTACCGAGAAAGCAGAACTGACACACATATATATGCTCTAGGAGTAACTATCGAAGACAGTGACCCAAATAGACTATTGATTTTCACAGAATTTTGACGCGTAGTGCCTACGGTAGCCTAGACAGTTGAAGACCATCTTCTTGTCGGCGGTTGATTATGGCCGCCAAGCAACATTTGGCTTGATGATGGCTGAGGAAAAGAGGGCACAGGACCACGTGCATTCCTAGACGAACAATGCAGTCATCGCAATATGTAAGAGGCTGACAGTAGATGTATCATCATGAGTTCTTTGTCATTGATTATTCGTACCCCTGACCAGTGGAACTCTCATCACATGGACGGTTGCAGTCGTTTCAACTTCCACTCCAACCTCATTCTTCTATTTTCCTTCTCCAGCACGCTTGACACCCCCAGCAACATCATTAGCCCCCTTCTCAACACTCGTTCCGACGTCCGCAAGCCCCTTTGCAACCGGCCGTCCTGCACTCCCCGTTGCCCCCTCGATAACTTCACCAGTTCCCCTGCCCACCGCTCCCACAACGCCTCCCAGCAAATTTGTAGCTCCTCCAACTGTGTTTCCAACTGTCGATGTGACAAACTTGACGCCGCTCGTCATACCGGAATCTTGCTGACCAACAGGCATCGCGTAATTTTTTTTGCGTGGGTAATATGATCGGCTGTATTGAGTTTGGGTCTGTGTGTACAGCTAGGATGGGATGTAGTGGTGTACGGGAACTATATTGCCGAAGAGCAAGATTAAGTTTGGATGGTGCAGTATCGTGGACTAGCTTTCTTGAAGAGTTGATTTCTAGAGTCCAGCTTCAGGTGGCGCTGGAGATGGTGCGGTTTTATGTTCACTAATGCCTGCTGGTAGCTCTGACGTCATGGGCGCCGTTCTGTCTCATCGACGCGTGGACGACTAGGAGGGAAACTTGGATTTAATGAATGACAACTTCTTGTTCTTCAGGTTTATACCCTGGTTTCATATAGAGAGGAGCGCCGATTACGAAAGCCAAGTTGGTGTTGGCTTGGTTTTGTCTTCGACAGACATCAAGGAGGAGGATTGATGGTTGACCAGAAGGAAACTGAAGGAAATGCGTCAACAGGTGAGTCGCCGTTGCAATGAGTCGACGACATTTAATTTAAGACCGCGTTTGATTATAAATATATACATATATATATATATATATATATTCAAAAAAAACTACAATCAGGTAGAGAAGATCGCAGTGTAGCGATGCTGAAGGCGGAAGCAGTCTACATGGAGTATGCTGACCTAAGGAGATATGCCTGGCTATGATAATGACATAGTGATTCTCTTGGGAGATAGACACATGACATGAAAAAGGCCTATGAGCTTTATGAAACGCATTAAAACAAGGCCAAACGCATAGAACGATAGAAGTGCGCCCGCACCTTCGAACATTTGTCATGATGCATATCGAGAGGTGAATTAGCAATGCCGTTGTTCAGTTCTTACACAGCCTGCGCAATCAAACGGAGACAAGCTTCCAGATCCATCGTACCCCGTTCACTCAGACCAGTACAAGTGGGCACGAGAGCGATTCTTATCGTGTCCTCAGCCTGCGGTCCACGGTGGAACAATGCGCAAAATACTTGTTGTGGTATCAATGTTCGGTGCTTACGGATGCAACGACGCTTAGTCAGAGATTGGGCATTCCAATGCGTGGTTCTGGAGGCGTGAATACTGGCGCAGAGTCCGTTGAAGTCGCGGATGCCTGGTAAAATCCCCTGGTTGAATGGATGGACTAGTCGTCAGGTGAAAAGTGCGATGAATACCTGCATGTGTGTTTGGTTGTAGGGAACGATGATGAGGGTGAGCTAAGTTAAGACGTGGGTCGGCGTTTCTACGGCCCGCGTTGATAGTCAGGAACAGACGCGCCAGCCTCAACCTTCCGGGGATACTTTGGTCACCATAACTCAAAAACTGTCGAAGGCAATCGTAACACAAAATGCTGGTCTCTCTCACCGTTGGCAAGGTCGACGCCGGTGTCGCGGTGTTGTTGACTGAAGATAAACGCCTTGTAAGCATCCCGCCCATGGTCCCAGAAGATGACCACTGTGCAGGCGCACCCCTGCCATTCACCCACCTTGCCATTGACAGGCTACAGATTGAGTTTCCCTCGATATTGCTACCCCCCGACATCTCCTCTGGCTCCATGGTCGATATCGAAGTCGGCCGCAATTACAAAGCAGAAGCAGATGCCCAGCGAGCCTTTCAAGAGCTTCAGACGGAGATCTTCCAGACCTTTGGCCAGCGCACGCCCTCTGCACCCGTCCTCAAATGTCGAAATGCCACACAAACCTCAGTTGTCCTCGAGTGGGACCCAATCGACATTGCGACTGCCGAACTACGCAGCCTTACCCTATATCGCAATGGCAGCAAGGCAGGCACTATACCGAAGCCCAGCGAGAACCACAGCACCAAGTTGAGTGGCTTGGCTGTCGATACAGAATACACCTTCCACCTCGTACTCAAGACCAGCGCGGGCAATTTCAGTAGCGAGAAGCTCAAGGTACAAACGCACAAGATGACAGATCTGTCTGGTATCACAATCACACCAGGACATATGCCTGCTGCTTTACGCGAGTCACTCCAAAGATCAGTAGAACGAATCGGCGCAAAAATCGCAGACACTGTTCGTATCGATACGACGCATTTTGTATGCACAGAAGGTAGAGGGCCAGCATGGGAGAAGGCAGTGGAGAACAACATACCCGTCGTCGTGCCAGACTGGGTACTAGGGTGCGAGAGAGAGGGCAGAATTGTCGGTGTGAGGGGATACTACCTGAATGCTGATCCACGATTACGGAATGTTGGTCCAGGTGGATCGCAGGTACCCCAACAAGGAACTCAACAGCAACAACAACAGCAGCCCAGAAGTCCCGTGTTAAGTCCACGGACAGAGATTACCCCACCTACCCCGGACAGACCCACACAGGACCGCAACACCAACACAGCACCACCTCCCCCACCTCCAAAAGACACAGCAAGCGAAAGGAGCAATGCCAGCACACCAGAACCGAGGAGCCAACCAGCGCAACAAAAGGCCAGTACAGAAGACTTGAAACCACAGTCGGAAGAGCAAAGGCAGCAAAACACGAGCGAGGATGAGTCGGAACCTGAGGCAAGCAACGAGAAGGCAGTCGAGGCAGGCCTACCGAACAGACCGAAATCAGGGCAACCGTCAGTCGAGGACGATGATGATGGAGGAAGCTTCCAAGAAGTGGACCTATGATCAACAGAAGCATCCATTCAACGACAATTCGAAAGGAATGTGGATTTGGCCATCAAGAAACTTTGCACAGAGTGTCAATGGTATCTAGGCTTTTTCAATACACACCGTTTTCTCATTACGCAGCCATATCTATATAGCTAGAAGAGAGAAGAAAATAACCAGAATCGCCAATGTTCTCACATCACCACTGCTGATTTACCACTCTTGATGAAAGTCCGCGGGACAAGAGACTGGAATCTCAATTGTCATGCATCATCGCGTCTAGCTATACATCCAAATTGTCATTTGCGGCCCCTGTTTGCGCAAGATTGCTTTTGATTATAGGATTGGGCTTGTTCTAGCTGAAATGGGGATTTGAGGGGTGATTGGACGGTGATGGGAGTTAGAAAGGGTAGAGGAGTTGTGAGTAGCAGTTTCTGTTCCTTGACGAAATAAAGAATGAATGACAATGAGATTGGAAAGATTCAAGCACGGTGTTTTTGACATCCCGTCTTGCCTGATAGAGAAAGAGTTAAAATCATTTGGAAGATTTCTGTTTTTTATTGTTGGGTTTGGTTGCACTTTTGTGTTTCTGGCTCTGGTCTTGGTCTTGGTTTTTAATCTGATGCTGATTCTGTTTCTGGCACGATCGCAATCCGCCTTGCCAGCCTCATCGACTCAGAAGGATATTAGGACTGAACGGATCGCGATATCGGCGGATAAGTGGGTGTTTGATAGACCACACTTGAAATATATGGGTACGTGGATCCAGAATGAAAGAAGTGCATTAGACGAATATTCCACTTTGCATGAAATAACACATCTCCAGATCAAATAGGGAAACTATAGTGTCGAAGAAACATAATCCCTCAATCTCAAACAAGTCGAAACCGACACCCATCTTTCTTCCCCCTCTTCACCAGGCCCACAACCTCCCCGTTCATGAAATCATGCGCATACGCTTCCCCAACGACTTGCCAGGACCCCTGGCCTACCGCGCGCAGCACAAGTGGGATACTGCAGCCGAAAATGACGGCGACTACATCACCCGACCGCGCACGACAAGGCGCCATGCCCACGATGCCTTGATGCGTAACCATAAGGCGCCGCGCCTTCTTCCGCACTGTATCGTGGAAGCGGGAGAGAAAGCCATCAGGCTTGTCTGAACCAAAGTCGCTCCTCGGGCGAACGGGATAGGAAGGCGGGCGACGTAGGTCTGACCTTGAAGACGGGGGTTCAGAGGGGATATTGGTTACGAGGTCGAGGAGGGTTTGGGTGCCGAAGACGAGGGCTTTGTTGTGCTCGAACCAGGTTGAAAAGCTCCAGTCGACGGGCGCGTGGGCGAGGCATGCGTGGCAGAGGTGGAGGAAGTCGGTGGTGTAGTGGGTTGGTGCGTGGAAGCAGAAGTACTTGTCTTGTCGATTGAGAACGAGGGAGCGGGCGATGAGCTCGATCCAGTCGGTGGGGAGCATGTTGGCTCTTGGGCCTGATTGCTGGTTTGTGCTAGACTGGAGGATCGTGTGGCCAGTTTCTGCGCAGATGAAACTTTGGCAGCGGAGTTGACGGTCGTCTAGGCCGCCGAGTCCATGGATTGTGTCTAGTATGACACCGTCGCAATGCAACACTTGGAGGTCATGGGAGAAATGTACGTTTGCTTTTTTGCTCAGTTCGCCAGGTGCATTGTATGTTGCGTTCCAAGTAGCAGACTTGAGCGGTCGGAAGTTTCCAATGTGCTCGCTAGCACTCTGACTTACCATCATGGGAACAGGGGAGGCAAATTCGATCGTGGCTCTCCAGTCTGGCGCCCAGTGAGGCACCGAATTATCCGGGCCAGGATCAAATGGTCCAGAGAAGCGACTGAATAAGTGGACAAAGCAAATGATATCCAGGCTCCCATATTCGTTCCAAAACGAGCGTACGAGCTTTGCAAACTGGAGCTCCGCACTCGAGCTATACTCCGGTGTCCCAATCAGCTTGCGATCTCTCGAAGTGATAAGCCCCAATACAGAGAAGATGCGATCTCTGCTATCCGTTGCCGAGTGGTTGCCCAGGTAAGCCATGATGGAAATCAAGCTGATGCCTCGAGAATCGATTCTGGTATGCCATTGGTGAATCCTCCTGCGATTAAAGGCTCCATCAAATGCTACACGAGGCACTAGTTCGTGTTCGAAATCGCTGCTGATGGTGCTGCATAGAAAGATGCTGTACACAGCGCTCTTGAGCTTGCCACGGCTGATGCTTTTTGGGCCACAGTAGAGCTTCGCTTCTTTGGAGAGTACAAACTCTTGTAGCGTCCAGACCTGGTGTCAATCTTTAGTGAGGATATGTTTTAAACATTGATCCCGTTCCACGTACCCGAGTCCACCATGGCCTGAATAGCAATTTGCTCACAGCCGCACACTTGGAAGTAAACTCTGGATCCTCGAGATTTTGCCGCATCGCCGCATCATCTCTATCAAAAGCAACCTGCAGGGTGGAAAGATAGTGCAGGAACTCAATCGCACCAGTACAATCACTGCCTTCTTCTCGCTCTTCACCCAACCATATTATCGCTCTCTTCGCCCTCTTGTAGATATCTGCCATGATTTGTATCTGCTTCTCCCGTTCGTGCCCATTTTCCAGATTGATGCATAGCGAGTCAATCCACCACCAGTCGTCGTTGCCGAAATCTTTATGCTTTGTGACCATGTGCATGAAAGGAGCCAGACTGCTCAGCACAGATAGCGATCCGGTTTTCAGCCGAACGGTTGTGCTCGAGTACGTCTTGGTTCCCCAGACATAGCTTGCGGTGTAGAAATGCGGCGCACTTGCAAGGCGAAATGTTTCTAATTTACCTGGAGAGGAATCACGTGCATCAGTTTGTATGCACACCACAGACGTACCAAGGGCATAGGGGGAACATCATACCAGTGAAGACACCATCATCCTCTGACTCTGAGAAGCGAAGCAAGCGAATCGAAACTTGATCAATCGAGTCAGCGTATACGGAATCCGCTCGTGTAATGGAAGACGATGATTCCATGTCGAGCAAAGTGGGGCTTTGTGGTTCTATGAAAGTGAATTACTGGCTGAACGTTGAGGTGCGACTGCACGCTAGCCCTGTCTTTGGCAAGGCGTCCCGGTTGACGTCAAGAGGAATCAATATCAGTATCTTTGACTTCAGATAATTGGCCTGTAGCAATCGTTTGAGTTTCTATGCTTTCTCCCCAAGTGATTCTGGAGAGCATACCATTTTTGGTCAACATGTCCATGGTGAGTATAGTCTGTTCCCTCTTTGAAGTATGCACGACGTTACCAAACCTAACCCCTTTCCAGCCCACACACCATACCCCCAACCCAACATTCTCACAGTCTCAAACCCATACCAAACCCACACCATCCCACACCCAGCCTCCCAACCCTTTCCCACAATCCAGCTGAACCAAACAAAACATGATAACAGTCATACAGTCATATCACAGCACCACAGAAGAGATGTACGCAATCGTGAGGAATCCCCTATCAGCTAGGGCGGGATAATTACTATATACATTAAATAGCTATGATGAGTCGTACGCATTGAAACATGAAAACACATAGGAAAGAGTAAGAGGAGACGTGGGAAACACAGTCTACCTGCTTAAAAAGCCAAGAACAAGAACAATATCTTCGCTACACAGAAAAGAAACGGAAATGACCCCATCATGAATATTCACCCATCATCCCCTCTTCCCCATCCTTCCCTCATCACCCTAACCCCGCGCTAAACAAAAGCCCACATCCCTCACACAACCCCCGGCGTCCTAAAGAACCGAATCTTCCTACACGCCTCCAGCACATCCTGCGTCCGAATCTCGCCCTCCTCCAACTCGAGGCCCACAATCTTCGCCAGCGCCTCGGTCAACTGCTCATTCTGGCGCTGCAGCGAAACAACCCTCTCGTGCATCTTGTGCATCTTGTACCTTGTCGACGCCCCGTTCTCGGCCTCATCTTCATGCCCGCTGTCGAGAGATCGCTCGCGAATGGGCTCGGGTGTTTGCGCCGGTGTGAGCGGTGCATGGGGTACGACCTCGGCCTGCTGTTTTTCCAGCGTTGGCGGTGGAGCGTGGGCTGGCGCGGACAGGGGCTTCTTCTTTATACGTTGGAGATCACGCAGTTTGCGAGCTCGTGTCTGTTCTTCGCGCGAGGCTAGAGGATGGTTGTCTACGGGAATGGGCTTGGGCGATGTAGGCGTTCTTTTGGGACTGCGTGGAGAGTTGGATGTTGGTTGAAGCGGCGCTCGTGGGGGTGTGTTGGAGCCGGAGCCTGATATGATGCGTTCGACTTGTGGGCTTGCGAGTGGATTGAGCATTTCTTCTGTGAAGGAGTCACCCATGAGGGAGACATATCTTGAGCGGTTCTTGGGCTTTGATTGGGACGCCGGTCGTACGAGAGCCAGTGACGGGGTGCTGATCATGGCTTCAGTTGGAATCACAATCTTGAGATGTTTGGCTCCACCCGCAGTTGTCATTTCGCGCGCGCAAGCCGGTATAGGAGACTCCTTGTTCGATCTCTGTGGTGAGCCTTCTACAGACCCAACCCGGGCTGCGAGTGTCTTCCGCTGCTTGACCTTGAACAACCGCATACCGGTCTTCTTGCGCTGTTGTCGAGTATTCGGCTGAGGTTCTGGTGACGGCCCAGTGTTTCTAAGGTAGTAATGGAAGTCGTTGAGTCCCAAGCGGTAGTAAGTCTGATCATTGCAACCGCGATGGAACTTCGCCGTCAGCGCATTGTGGTCGAGAATTGGTGGCGCTTCCTTGCCAACGATGGCTGAGCCCGCAAGATCAGCTTGTCCCACGTCGACACGTTTCGGAACCTGTTTCTTCGGAATATGGAGCCCGCCTTTCTCCTGATTGTACGGCGAATACTGCCCCTCAGCGGCAAAGACAAACTCGCTGTCCACGGATATGGTAGACTCGACTTGGATGTTTAGCGGAAAACAGGGGTTCGTCAAACGTTTTGGGCTGCGATCCGGAACGGCAGGCGGTGGCCCGTTTAAAAAATGCAGCTCATCAATGGGAAAGATGGCCGCGGACGCTCTGAATGGACTTTGCAGGACAGGATTCGACTGCACTGGTGGTGTATCTGAGGGGCAGGGAGAGCAGGCATCGGAGGAGGTATTGGGCGAAGATACCGGCCCGCCACTCTGACTATCAAAGTACCGTTGAATCACACCAAAAGTGCCCATCTCTTCATCTTGACCAGTTTCGAGGGAGGGAAGTAAGTCGAGGACGCCTTCATTAGACTCTTTCCGGCGATGTTCCGCGACCCAAGATTCCAGTGGTGCATGCCGTGCAACGTTGTTAGACTTTGGACTACCGAATTTGAAAGGCGTTTGACGTCGTCGCTGCTTCTTCTCTTGGGGGAAGATTGCTGGAATACTCGCACTTCGGATGTTTGTTTCGTGACTTGACGTATAGCTGGAGCATAATTGTTGTGTTGCGGTCTTGACCAAAGGCACTGAAAATGAGCGACGGTGACCGTTGGCTGATGGTTGGTAGACATTCAATGTGGTAGGGGTTCCTACTTCGGTCGAGTCAAGCTCGGCTGGGGCGCCACGGTTGATGGTGATCCTCTTCCCCACGATTTGTGACTCTGGTGACGAGCAATATGCGTATTGGCTTGCCTGCGTCTGACAACCCTCACTTGGTGTTCCGCGATAAGACAGAGTCCTCGGCCGTGAGTAGTTCTCATTAGAAGAAGATCGTGATGGTCGGTACACCTCCACGTTCTTGGGTGATCGCATTTCAAAGTCCCGTGGCGTGTGGTTGAGAAAGGTCCCTCTTCTTCTTTGTTGACAGCCAAACTCGTCTATATAATGAAGAGGCGGTGACGAGCCAAAGCCAGAGCCAGTCGGATCAATGCCTGCTGTGGTGGGTGGAGTGACGTTTTCGTCCTGCGTCGAGACGGTGGACTTGCAACGGAGAGAATCCAACGTCTCGTTTGTGTTCCTCTTGCGTGCAGCCTCGAGGCTCCCAGCGTATTCGAGTGCAGAGATACCAGGGTGGCCAAACATTGGGAAGGAGTTCAAAAGGCTTTCCGTAGAGCTTCTGGAGGTGGAGAAGCTCATGACTGCGACCGGCTTATGAGCAGCCGCCAGACTGCCACAACCCCTCCCAAACTGATGCCAATGCGCGAGCTGTGAGTACCAATCCGGAAAGTTCAGCAGGGAATAGGGCTTGAGAACGTGGCACAACCACTACTTTGGTAGTTCAGCAGACGCAGTGGTGTTGTATTTCACGAAGACAGCTGAGCTCTGCTGTAACCTTAGCCAGGGGCAGCGGCGATTGGCAGCTTTTGTGCGTCGACTTCCTTGCAAGGAAGAAACTCCACGATGTCCGAAGGGAGGAAAATCATGCAGTACTTCCTGCAGTGGATCTGAGCGTACCCAGAAGTCTTCAACTCGTGCCAGCAAGAGGTACTGCTACGTGGCACAGCAGCACATTGAGAGCGAACCAGCAACAGTAGTCGAATTGGGGTTTGACGTGTCGATGTCTCTAAACGCAGGCTACACAGTATGAAAAGATATCAAAATATAAGTTGCGGTAAAGAGTGTCCTTGGCGATTTGCGCCAGATCAAATCCCGCTGCACCCCGTTCACACCGGCGGTGATGTCGTTGATATTAAGGTGCTGGCCAGGCTAGGTACCTACGTACGCCAGGATCTGGTGGCTATGAGAGCGGCGATTAGCGCCCGGCCACGTTGTACAAGGCGTACGAGGGGGATTGGCGTTGGAGTGTGACGAGAATTCGCGAGAGTGCCGTGCAACTCAGCCGCTTCTATAAGCACTGCAAGGGAGACCAGTTTTCCGATCTTATGCTTGGGAATCTGTAGGCAGGCTAGCCAAGAGGCCAAGGCAAGACGTTGGACCCGCGCAAACTGTCAAAACCGTTGCATGATGGGCCTGAGGGATCCGGCGGGGTTCTTGTCATGTCGTGGGGTGCGGTGTATATCGTACTTGGTGTAACCACAAGGCGTGGAAGTAAATTGTGGAGCAGTCCCATTCACATTGTATGCCGTTCCTGATACACAACAACGGCACATGTCGAAAATCGCGAGAACGATTTCACAGGATCGCCCCGAGCATTCAACATGCATTGCTGCGATTGGAGCGGTGTGAACGATCAGCAATTATTTGGTGAGCTTGGGAAAGGAGAAATTTCAAAGGTGGAAGCACACCAGAGGTGGATAGCACAGATCTCATCACGGCGCGTCACTGTTTAGTGGTCGATCTTTGCCTGTCAGACCTTAGCCATGGGCGCCTTTCACACACCTTGTGGCCAATGTTACCCAACTTCAAGTGTCTCCAGCCCGTAATGTCGCCGAGCAAGTCTACTTTTCATGACTAGATGTCTACAAGTAAATAAATAATGGCACGAATTGCCCGCCAAGGGCAAATTTTCGGAAATGGTCGTAAGCCACGCTATGCAAACGCCAAATGACGCTGACGAGCATAACTAAAAACGATATTTCCCCCACACTTTTCAATTGCAATGATCATCTAGTCCTGGGCTTCTTCGTCATAAACGGATTGGGCGGTTCACGCGGCCGTCTGCGAATCTTTGGTTTCGCCATTGCCCCGATCACATCGCCAGGCAGAGGATCGATGGCCGTTGGAGTGGCCGTACCGTTGGGACCCTTGCTTGTGTCACGAGAAGCGTCTGCAAATGCTGCTGGTGTCGAACGGCCACTACCGCCATTGAGGGTATTAGTATTGGATGCACAGTCCGACAGTGCATCCTCCATGTCGACATCGCTACTCTCGCCCTTGACTTCGACACCTTCGCCGTGCTGCTCAAACTTGCGCTTGCCATGATGCACTAATGTGCGTTCCTTCATGGGCTCTTCTTTGATCTCTTCCTTGACCTCTTGTTTGATAGGCTTTTGCTGGGGATTTGAACATCCATCCGAATGGGCGCTTGCGGTTCGACTTATCGGCTCCGATGGATCCGGTCGGTGTGGCTGGACGTAACCTTGTTTGGGAGCTGGGTACTTGCTCGAGTGTTGATTAAGCATCTTTGTCACGTCGCCACCAGTGTAACGATCCCGATTCTTGGCATCCAGGACTAGCTTCTTCCAGAACTCACCGCGCATAAGCGACTGTGAGTTACCCAGAACCCAAAGTGAAGATTTTGCACGCGTAAGACCGACATTCATACGACGAATGTCTTGCAAGAACCCAATTCCACCGGCAGGAGAAGCTCGCACACAAGAGAAGATGATGATTTCACTCTCACGACCTTGGAAAGCATCTGTAGTGTTGAAGTCGATCATCTCATCCGTCTTTTCCCCGAACCGAGCCATGAATCTTGCCTTGAGTTCTCTCAGTTGACTCTTGTATGGTGTGATGATGCCCACTTTGCCCTTGAAGTCGTAGTCAGGGTAGTCGGAGATTAGCCGGGTGTACAATTGGATAGCAATGTCGATCTCCTTCATGTTGATGAGCGAGTGACCCTTGGGCGCAGCTTCCTGCTGGCCCTGAACATCAAAGAACCTATAAGGACCAAGGAGCATGCTTTGATGCCACGGCTTCTTGCGTAATCCCGCCATGTCACCACCATCCAACAATTTGCCGTCGTAAAAGGTTTGGCTGGGAAACAGGCTGATCTCGGGGTGCATACGATATTGCGTATCCAGGAGGTGAACGTCGTCAGGATGGTTCTTCTGCATGCGCACAAACAAACTCTGTTCGTACTGGAAGCGTGCTGCTTCCTTGGAAAAGACAGTCGGAGGAAGTTGTTTGGGATCTCCGACAAGGATACACTTGGCACAGCCATATTTGAGGGGAATGAGTGCACTCATCTCAACACACTGAGCGGCTTCGTCGACAATGACAGTCTCAAACTCGATGCTCAGTCCCTGAAACATCTCGTGACCGGAACCACTGAGCGTTGCACAGACGATATGCGCATCATTCAAGATGCTCTCCTGTGCCCGCCTTCGATCCAAATCTGCAGTGCGATTTTGTATCTTTTCCTCGTCCTTTACGTTATCGATCTTGGTCCCAAGCGCAGTCTTCCTCCTTCTCAGGGCATTGATGTCGTCGTCGAGCTTCGCAGCAGCTTCACCCTTGATCTCGCCAGTGTCTCGTTGCATGTACGCCTGCTTGAGCTGTTCGGAGATCATTTTGTGTTCTTGGAAAATCTTCGACTTGGCTTCTGCATCATTCTTGCTATCCGAAGAATTCAGGTTAAGCTTTTTTGCGACCAGCGTTTCGAGCGTCACCTCCTGTACTTCGACCTTGATGGCATCACTGCGACCGAGACGAACGATGTTCACATTGCGTTTTTCGCCATTAAGTGTCGTGATGCCATCCATAAAACGCATAACCAGCTCATCTACAGCAGCATTGCTTGGCGCACAAACCAATAGCTTCTTCGTAGCCGTGTTGGGACGTTGCTGACCAGGAACGTTGATAGTAGTACCGCGGGTTCGGAGACTGTCGGTAAGTATCGCCCCTACAATAGCAGTAATCGTCTTGGTCTTGCCCGAACCGGGAGGACTGTGACACTATTAGCATTCCAACCATGACTCTAATGTGCGCAACAATTACCCTTGAATCAAAGTGAAGGCATCGTTGTCGAGTGCTGATTTGATTGCCTTTGCCTGCGCATTGTTGACGTTGTAAGTGTTGATCAGCGGCTGTATCTGGCTGTCTTTGTAGGTGAGGAGTGGAGAGGGTTTCGCCCGGATAATCTCATCACAGAGATCGTAATATTGGAGACCCTTCAGCGCACCATACTCGCGCTCAAGCGGGGTAATGGACTGCAGCTTAGTCCCAAAAAGGCTATTGTTTGGCTGCAGAGCGGCCGAAAGAGGGTTGCCAGGTACCACACGGTATGAAACCTCAATATGTTGGTTCTTTCTCTTGACCTTGTACACCCTTGCAAGGCAAGTTGGCTCGTTACCAGAAGGGGACTTTGACTGTGATAAAAGTATGATGTCGCCTTCAGAGATCATGACTTCCTGGTTCTCTTTCTGTGTCATTGTACTGCCTATTTCCTGAAATGCGTCGACACTGGCTCGAGACGTGATTCGGACCTCGTATGGCCTTGCCTGATTCTCCTCGCGAGCTTTGACAAAACCTTGCCATGCTTCTAGAGTCAACAGTGGCTCAAATGTGGATTGATAGTCATTTGGAGTCCGGAACGTGCTGAGGACTTTGGAATATATTTCCGGTCGCGAGTTGGGCGGGAAATCGCCATCATGGAAATAGTTCCATCCTAGGATAGCCCTGTGCAAGGAGCCAAGATCGGGTGCCAGCCGAGCGCGCATATCCTTGATGGATCTTTGAACTCGTTTCTTCTTGACAGGCATCTGAACTTTGATCTCGTTGACAATATTGGTTTTTGGGCCTGTCTTTACTTTCTCCTTCTTCATCCCGAAAAGTTCCTCGTCAATGTCACCATCGCTATCTTCGGATTCATCGGAGGAGTGCATCAGGCCCTCACCCTTTGCTGCTTGATCCTTGCCTAGGACGCCCAGGCCCTCGAGACCGGAGCCTGCTTCCGCGTTGTGTGATCCAAGGCCCCTTGCTGCTCTGGCCTTTACAATCGCAGCCTCTTTTTCCTTGTTCCGTCTCTCAAGCTCAAGTTGTCGCTTGCGCCTAAATTCATCTGACGAAGCATTCCTCTGATCTTCCATAGCCTTGAGCTTTGCAGCTTTGGCGTCAGAAGCTCGCATTTGCTCACGTTTGGCTTGGAAGGCGCTCGAACCCGAGGTCAAGCTAGCCAACAGCTTCGCTTTGCCTTCCGAGGGCGTCGGCATCGCACCAGTAGACATCCATTTGCTTATGGAGGCCTGCTTTGGCTTTACCGGTTCCTCTTCCTTTACAAGAGAACGCCCAAGATGCTTCTCGAGAGCCTGTTGAAGCGTAGCTTGTTGAGTAGCGCTAAGCTTCGCGCGAACTTCGCCAGAAAGGATCTTCTCCATGTATGTCAACGCATTGATGTCGACTTCGATAGAGACAGCATGTAGTCTGTCAAGAAGTTTGCTAATCAAAGTCGTAGATTTGCTCGACAAGAACTCATCGCGAAGACGCAGCCATTTCACCAGGCCATCCATGGCATTCGCAGGGAGAGCCAAGAGCTCTCTAAGTAGAGCAGTCTTTGAAGGAGCACCTTCTTCATCGGCAGAGCCCCCTTTCAAGGCGGTTGCGAAGATGCTGCATTGATCGAACAGTGCGTCGGCAAATTCCATCGTATTTCTGCAGAAGTCCATCATCATAGACTTCTCGTAAAAGCCCAGGTTGCTCCAAGCCTCTGTTGTTGCGAAGATCATCGTCAAGGAGTCCCAGAGGTTCTTCCAGAAATTCATCGTGACTCCAGCATCGTCAGAGGTAAACTCTCGAGCTCGCAGGATTCCATTTTGCGAGTTGCACATCGCCTCGATGATTTCAGAGCACATTCTAATCATACTTGGCGCGGGAGCGAAGGCCTTCTTGTGTCTGACTTGTCGAATCGAGTCAGAGATGCCTTGAGTGACGTTCCTGTAGTGAACCTTGAGAATGTGCTGGAGTGCGTCACTACGTTCTTCCTCCGAGCTGATGACCTTGAGGAGCTCGATCGCCGAATTCCTTGTGCCCTCTGTTGATGAGAAAAGCAACGAGACAATGGCGCTGGCAGCCGACTGCTTTTCGAACAGCGCTTGCAGTTGTGTCGGGTCGAACTCCGAGAGTCGGTCGACCACATCAGTGATAGACTGAGATAGGAGTTCGAAGCGGTTATTGAAATGCCGCACAGTCGCAGGTATCTTGTCAACTCCGGGCTTCATTTGCAGCGGTTCCAGACCAATCAGATTTCGACCAGCGATCAACAAATGAGTAGCCAATTCCAGGCTCTGCGAATCTATCGCTTTCAAGACTGTCTTCCAAATTGGACTCGAAGGAGGCGTCTCCGTAGGCGAGGGCTGTTTCGCTGAGATGAGCTGTCGCTCGATAATCAGTGACTGCGCCTCGAGCTGGAAGGCATGTTGGATGACAGAAAGCGCGAGCTGCATATCCTCCTGGAAGTTTGGATCGTTCTTGAATCGCTTGAGGCTCGAAACTAGTACTTGTATGTGCCTTGAGAGCATATCTAGCATACCATTGACAGTGGGCTGACCCACGAACTTGTCAATTGATTTCCCCTGTCCCATTTTTCGGAACGCGTAATCAAGTACCTTCAGACCTTCTCTGAAGCATAAGTCTCTCGCGACGCGTGGATACCTATCTGACTGGAAGCGTTCGAACAGGGCGTGGCCAAAGGGGCGAATGGCAGGACCAAGATGGGATTCCTTGATTGTCGATAAGAGAGACGGAATCCAGCTGAACGCAGCATGTAAGTTATCCATGCTCTGCTTGTCGGTTGCAGTCGCCGCAAGAAGCAGCTGGTTCAAGACCGGGCTATTGAACACCTGCTCTACCACGGTCGCGATTGACGGAGTAACAGCATTCATTCCCTCCCAATAATCCACGGGGGAAGTTTCTAAAAGCTGCTTCATGGTTGCGGTCAAGTCCAGGAAGCCCTCCGACTGCAGTGAAAGATGATCGAGCATTAGGCGGTAAAAGTCTCCGTCCAGACCTCGGATGCAGTCGGTGATTAGGTCTCGGTCCATTCTGCTGATGATGAGTCGCGCACCGTTCCAGAAGAGTGATACGAGCGACAGGTCAAGGTTATTCATCTGGACCTTCATCATGACGCTTACAAGGTGATCTCGCACAGCCCATTCGAATTCGGACTTGATGATGTTGCGCTTGAACGTAGACCATGACTCCGTCGCCCACTTGAGACGCCTCGGATTTCTACAGAACAAGAAGCGCGTCATGGCTGGTAAACAGGTCTGTACTTTCAAACGCTTCTTCGTCTGCACCATGTCGAATGGCGCATCAAAATGCTGCTGAAGGAATTCCTCGCTGCGGACCACATAATCGCAGCTTAGCGCCTCGAAGAAGGCATAGGTACACCATACTGGCACCTTGCTGATCTTACGCTCTGCCGGCTCGAGTTTACGCAGAACATCAGTCGATTCATCCAGCCCTCTTCGTATGCGCCCTATGCACTGATTGTCAACCACCTGCAAGAAGTCGGCAATGTTGTCCTCATCATAAGAGTCGATTAGCCGCGTCCTCCACTCTGCCCTCGACTGATAGAACACCCGTACGCAGACATCGCAGGTCTGCATGAGTGTGTCGAGACGGCTTGTTAGCCATTCCTTGTGCGGTGCGGCCTCGTCGCCATCGAAAGCCAATATTTCCATGGACTTGAGCACTGTCCATTTACGATCCTCAGCTTCTCGTATCTTCAGTCTCCGTTCCTCGAGTTCAGTGGCGTCGACTTCTGGTTCGCCTGCAACGTCTTCATCGTAGTAGGTCGATCCATCGTTGGCGCCGATGCGCGGGCAGAATAGATGCTGGTCTTCGGGTAGCTCTCGGAGCTCACTGTACGAAACGAGGCAGTCAGACATACTGGTGTGGAAGTGAATATGGGAGAGGAGGGTAGGGTTGGGGAGTGTGCGCGTGAGATTCAACAAGGAGGTCACTACATAGGAAAGAGAAGTAAAGTAAAGCAGGTCGGGTGAAACAAAGACAAGGTAAAACAAGGTAAATGAGACCAGAGGCATTTAAGCCGCAAAGAACTTACTTGATCCCCTCGAGGATCTCAGCCATGATGATAGCTACCGGCCGTCCTCAATCAGGCAGTCACACACTCTTCGGGAAGGCGATACTGGAACGCTCTTGAACATTGCCCACCCAGTGCCTCACTCTATAGACACACACACAACTTCTGCGCCAGTCTATGAGAAGATTGGAGATGCTATCTAGAGTGAACAATGCCCCAAGCCTCCCTTCAAATGCGCCCGCTTCGATGCTTTTCGCATAAGCGTGTGTGTATGTGTGTATGCGTGTATGAATGCGCGTCTGTGTATGAAGAAAGGGTACCGTAATACACCACAAAAAAAAACCCGCCCAAACCAAGCGCAAGGGACGGCTTTTATAGACAGAAGGGACGGGCCAATAAACGACTGTTTGCGCGCGCGCGTGCGTGTGTCGACAGGCGGAGACGGTGTGCGACGGGCTCCTTGTAGCGGACGGGTGAAGGTTGCTCTGTCGACGTCAGTGCTCAAAGAAACCAAAAACGCGTCGCGGGTCGGGTGAAGGCCCCACCCTGGTCTGCCCGCGCCTGTGTACCGGTACCCGTGCCAAGCCACTCATGCTTCCCAATTCATCCTCAGCGCGAGGTACGGTGTACCGCGGCACACACAGACACCTACCTTTGACAACTCTGATGGAAAACAGTTCAAACTGAATATCTGATTTATATGCAGTCATTCGAAGCTTGTTTACATTACTAACAATACTAACAGCAATAGTAACCGCAACAGATACACGGTATAGTAAAGCAAGCGATATTACATGACCACAGCACGCATAACACCCCCAGCCTCACAACTTAGCACCATGCTCCCTCTTTGCCAACACCCTCAAATCTTTCCTCAATATTTTGCCCGCCGGGCTCTTCGGAATAACATCCAAAAACACAACTCCACCCCTCAATTGCTTATGACTGGCCACTCTCCCCTTCACCCACTCTACAATCTGCTCTCCAGTGATCTTCCTACTGTCGGCAACAACATAGGCCCTGGGTACCTCGCTCGTCCCATCATCAGTCTCGACGCCAATCACCGCCACATCCAGAATGTCGTCGTGGCTCAGCAGTAAGGCTTCCAGCTCGGCGGGCGCAACCTGCATGCCCTTGTATTTGATGAGTTCCTTTTTGCGGTCGACAATGTAAAACAGGCCGTTGCGGAACTCGGCAATGTCGCCCGTGTGGAACCAGTCGCCAGTGAAGGCTTCAGCGTTTGCGGCCTCGTTTTGGTAGTGGCCTTTGCACACGACGGGCCCTTTGACAATGACTTCGCCGGGTTGGCCGGGCTCCACGTCGTTGCCGATCTCGTCGATGATGCGGGCTAGCATGTTCGAGATGAGGGCAGAGACGGACCCCGTGTCGTCTTTCATATCCATGGGCATAAGGGTCACGCTACCTGTTGTCTCAGATAGACCCCATGTTTGGCTGATGAAGCATTCGGGACCACCGAGCTTTTGACTAGCAGCATGTTGGAGCTCTTTGCCTAGTGGCGCGGCACCCGAGATGGCGACTTCGAGCGTCTTGAACTGATCTGTTGCTGCTGGGGACTTGGCAATGAGGAGGTAGATGGGTGGTACAGTGAAGAAGAAGGTAATCCTGTATCTCGCGTTGTATTCGAGAAACTGCACAAAGTCGAAACGGGGCATCCAGTACACAGATCCGGACATGTAGAATGGATTGATGAGGTAGCCTTGGATACCTGCGATGTGAGCGGTTGGTAAGTGGGCAATGGTTCGATATTCGAAGTTGGGCCGATTCTGCGCTAGCCATTCTTTGAACATGTCGCCTGGGATGACGGCTTCTGCTACCATATTCCGGTGAGACAGCATGACACCTGTTAAGCATCAGCATAGCGTCGATATTGGCAATCGGATTTATAGACGAACCTTTGGGTAACCCAGTCGTCCCAGAACTGTAGATCAAGACCACGAGGCTAATCTCCAACTCCCGTGGATCTGTAATCTTCACCCAAGGCAGCTTTTGATCATGATCGATCAAATTCTCTCCCAACTCCCCATTCTTCTGAATTTTCCATAGCCCTTGCCCTCACTCATTAATAAAACTCGTCCCCCGCCATTTGCTCCCCATCCAGCCTCCTCTGCAGCTTTGATCGCTACGTCTTTGGTGGCTTCAACAGTGACTAAAATCTTTGATTGAGCGCCTTGGATTTGCTTACTGAGCTCACTGGCTGTGCTTGTTGCAGATGCAGCCGAAAGAACACCACTTGCACCGATGATACCGTATGCTAGAACGGGGAGCAAATAATGGCCCGTGGAAATCACAGAACATATATCTTGACCTGCACCTTGGACGCCGATGTCGAAGTGTTTGCGGAGAGCTGCTGACGTTGCGTGAGTGAGGTCGCGAGCCCGCGAGATGGTTAGTGTGAGTGTTGGGTCAGCGGCTGAGATATGGATTGGCTGGTCAGGATTCTTTAAAGACTCCTCAGAATCTATTGATGGTTAGTAAGGAATTTTGGGCACGATCCTATTTCACCAGCCTCTGATTCCAAGTAATGTTGAATTATTAGATATCACAATTATACATACCGAACAATAGCGTCAGGATATCAACGTCTGGTATAGGATACGTTTTAGCTGCTCTGTATATGATACCATCTGGCGTCTTCTCAACGATTGTCGTCATCGCGACGATTTTAAAAGTATTGGTCTGTGGTCCAAGGGAAGGAACAATGAAGATGGCAAAATACTTATACTGGAATCTTGGAAGTGATGGATATAGTATATACTGAAAAACGGTATTTATGCTTACCCTATCAAGGGGATATTTATGGCATGTTACGACAATAACAATGGGCAGTCTTTCACTTTGTAGATCTATGGTTCCTCGGCTTCCAACTTGGTCGTATCGGGGTCCTTCGGTAACCATGTTGGTTGTCGGTAACTCTGTCAGTACTAGTGAGTAAGCGGGGTATGATCAATGGCGTCACTTCAGCAACGTGAATTGGCGAGTTTGCAACAAGATCAGGGCCTCTACCAGCCGACACAGAGTCTTTGCTAGAGTCTTTGCTCAAGTGTACTCTCGATAGTCACTTCTGTGATGTTGCAATGCAAAATCAAGCTTGGCGCTTGCGGCTCGGCTCGTTGTCCTCTGGATCCTCGGCTGCACCGTCGCTGGCATCAGATCTGTCAATCTCATTAGCATCTCCAGCCTTCTTCGACTTTTTCTTTCTTTTGCGCTTCTTCTTGCCCGTGGGCTTCTCAGAAGGTTCTGTGTTGGTTGAGACCGTCTTCGTGTCCATCGGCAGCACTGCCGGTCGTGCAATTGCTGGAAGGTCACTGACGCTGCCTATGTTCCTACGCATCCCCCGAGGATTTTGCTGCTCGAGCAAAGCCACGTACTCGGCGGTGCGCTTTGTGTGTTCAACCTTGGTCATAATTTTCCAGTCTCCTGGCACGTCGGCTTCTCTCCATTTGCGCCATATGTCTTCGTGCATAACACTTCCACTCAACACAACAAAAGCGCAACTGTTCCATAGCGTGTGTACTGCCTGTATAGGCAACCACTTGTCGCGCAATTGCCCGTGCTCTTTGAGCCAGTGGGCAACTTTCGCTGGAGTTGGACATATGTTACGCAAATGGGGCTCGATATATATGGTCCGCTGGTCCCAGAAGGCGAGACCATTATCATCAATCTCTTCGAACGAGTTTTCAGGCAGAAACTTGGGCGGATACGTTGCGGGCTTACGTCGAATGTAGTAGCAGTTGCTTGATACTTCAAGTATCTCCGAGGGGTATCTTTCAAGGGCTTCGAGGAGGAGCTTTTGAGTGGCCGCAGGCTTTAATTTTGATATGTAAGGGTGGTCGAGGATGGCTACCAGGTGGACGACTGTGAACAAAAGATTAGTCTGACTGGCTGGCAGCTGCATTGGGCTATGTACACTGCTCTTTGCCATCCACTGCCCTGTAGCGCTCCTTCAGCCAGCGTGCCCGCTCCTCTTCCTGATGCGCATAGTCGGTGAAGATCAATTCGATACCAGCAGCAAGTTGACCTAAGTACTCGGGTGTGATAGGCCTAGTCGTGAATCTTGGACCGCGCGCCACGGGCTCAGGGTCGGTTTGCATAGGCTCGGGCGCTGGAGAAGTGGTGCTTGTCTCCTGCATGGCCTTGATGAGCCCATCCTCCTGATTGTTACCGCCATCTTCTGGTACCTTGGGAGTAGTCTTGACAGCTTTGGGGCGTTTGGTTTCATGGAAGCCTTTGAGCCTAAGAGCTCTCGGGACGAACATTATTCGCGAAATAGAGCCAGATAGGCGGCCAGCTCAAAGAGAAGATTAATCAGAGAGGAGCATTTTTCAAATGGTTTTTGGGCACCTAGGTAGGAGCTTGAATGCGGAGCCGTCGCGGGAGAGCGACGCGTCGAAATCGCGCACAGGCCTACGTCAGTCTGAAATTCCACCTCACTTGCAACCGCGCCATTGACAACCTCTCCGCAACAAGTTCACGTGCAGCTCCGGTTGCTTCTTCCCACTCTGCCAAATCTCCTAACCTAGCATCCGCCACAATGCCGAAAGAGAAAAACTACAATCCTGTACAAGAAGCCAAAAAGGCCGAGAAGCAGAAACAAATACGCAAACAAAAAGCCACACTCCAAGCGCAACGCAATGAGAAACTCGCACGACGCAACCCCCATCGTATACAGCGCGACATTGACAGCCTAAAGGAGCTAGATCAAGCTGGGTCCATACGGCCTCATGAGCGACAACGGTTGCAGGAATTAGAGAAAGACCTTGCGGCCGTGAACAAGGCGAGAGCGGCACTGGGCGACAAAGCACCCGTCTTCAAGCCAGAACGCCGATTCGACGACGACAACGAGAGAGAGCGAGGAGATAGGGGCGGGCGAGGAGGACGAGGTGGCAGAGGCGGCGGTGTGCTAGGCAAGCGTACACGAGATGGTCACCGAAAGGAACAAGACAGCAGTGACACAGACGAGGACGTTCGAGATATCCCCATGCCACGCGATACACCGCCACCCATCCCACGTCGTTATCAGCAAAAGCAGTCGCAGGCAGCCGATGACGAAGCACCGGCCGAGCCCAAGAAGCCTACCATTGTCTACGAAGCGGCGCCACAGGTACGCAACTTGCTCAAGGAGGCGACGAGATTTATGCCTGCGTCTGTCGCGCAAAAGGTCAAGTTGGCAAAAGGTGAAGGAAGGCTCCTGGAACCAGAGGAGTTTGACCAGCTACGGGAAGAGGGCTATATGGACGGGAAGATCGCAGGTGGTAAGGAGAAAGAGCCAGTCGTGGAGACCGATCCTGAGCTTGAAGCCTTGCTGAGGTCAGAAACTACTACGGTCCAGCAAGATGCTGAGCAGGCTGTCGAGGCTGCGATTCAAGAGGCAGAACACGACATGATGGCGGCAGAGGCGAGAGGAGAAATCATTGGGATAACATCAGAAGCCGCCGTTGCTGAGAAGAACCTTAGACATGTGCAGATGGAGGAGGTCGAGGATGAGGACCGGTAGCTTCTCTCTCCCAAAGAAGCTGTTTGCATGTCATTCTGCTGTTGTTTCTGCTGTAACGTGGCCTAGAGTCCTTTTGTGTTGGGAAGAGCGCATGCTGTCGATCAGACTCGTCACGTCGCTTCAAAAATTGGCAGTTGCGTGCCTGAAGGCAGTGCGAGTTGACACGAGCCACTTTCACAGATCAATGTGGCATGAGAAGACAAGGGTCAACTGAGATGTGTATTCATTCCATTTGTGTGGTAGACGGGTATAATATAAGGCATCTTGCCAAAGGTATGTATCCACCTAGCACAAATCTGTCTTCATGCCGAAGGTCGTGAGCCGTCGAAGCAGCCGTCTATTTCTTGTTGCCAGACAGAGTGTCGCTGACGGTCTGGCCAGCACTGCTGAGGCTGTCCTGGACAGAGCCTAGAACGCCCTTGCCCTGCTCCTGGGCGTTGTCACCGCCGGAGCGAGTGGCATCACCAGCCTTCTGGGTGGCGGACTTGTTGCCCTCTGAGGACGGTGTTAGTACGTCGATGCGTGAGGAGTGGGAGGGGCTCAAGGATGACGTACCTGGCTGAACGGCTCCAGCGACCTTGTCACCAAGACCAGAGACATTCTCAGAGGCCTTCTGGGTAGTGGACTTCTGGGAGTCGGGAGTGACTGGGGGAGTGTCAGTACAGAGTGGGCAGATGGAGGTGAGGGTGCTGGTGCTTACTCTTCTCCTGCGCCTGCTCGCCGAGACCCTTGCGGAGGTTGTCAGACATGGTGATTGGGGGTTGGTTGGTGGTTTGGTTGTTTGGTTGGCGGGGTGTTTTTGGTGAAGAGTGTTTGGGGTGGGTGTAGTTGAAGTTGAGTCGAGTTTGGATTTGTTGGTGGATGAAGGTTCGAGGGGAAAGGGTGAGAGGTGTCTATTATATAGACGTTTGGTTCAGAGGAGCACGGCAGCCTACGACAATCGTACGTCATTTCCCGCGAGGGCAGCAGGCGCGAGTTGCAGCACCGGGGCTCTCACCTTGCGCCAGCCATATTACTTGGAACTTGGACAGTCGCAATCTGGCACGGCTGGGAACAGGTTACGGCATATCATTACTCTAGTTAGCAGGTGGTAGGTTACGCTCAATACTATAGTAAAGTAATCGTTGGACTTTGCAACTCCCCCTGGTAACTGTTCCATGGCTACAAGCCCAGGGTCACCGTGGATGGTACAAGGTGCTGTTTGTGGCCGATTAGCAAGTAGGACATGATGGTCTGGATGGCAGTTCGCAGTAGCGAGTCGTACCGGTACCGGTAAGGCTGCAACCGCAACCGCAACCGCAAGGGAACCAACAGGTACTCTAACCCCAAGGCTCCAATAAGCTACTCTACCTATGCTGTTGTTCTTTCACATACTTACACATGTGGGTTTCTAAAGGGTCCAGCGTGATCTTGCTGGGATGGTAAAGCGTTGTGGCAGCCACAACTCGTCACAGTTGGCAGATCAGTGCATACGGGGGGCTGCCACTCATGGGACTTTTGGGCCTTTGCCATGGCAATTGTCGTCATTGGGAACGGCTCAAGTGGAGGTTGAGGCACGAATAGCATGTGCTTGCCCCACTATGCAGAGTAGGTACCGGTACCGGTTACTGGACTGTACGGTACTACTACTTACCTACACACTCATGAGGCAATCCTTACCAGCCGTGGCGCCGACGGTCGCAACTTCACTGGCTGGCTTCACAATCAAGGCGAGCACACACGCATGCATGCAATCTAGAATACAGTAAGGCCTGCTTTTGCTCAGTCCAGTCTACCGAGAAGGAGAATACTACTACTACTCTATACTCTCTAGGGCTCGAGGGGATGGGGTTCAGCCACTCTCTACGTCCTTCGCCACATCTCTTGGCGCTTTCATCATATCCCCACAGCCAGTTTAAGAGCCCATCTCTTCCAATCCACTTTTACCCCATTGATCATCTTAATCGCCCACAGTGACGTGATGCAGCGTGAAAAGTAATACTACTGCCTTCCTAGATCTTTTCCTAGGCTCGGCTCGCCAGCAGACGTTTGGACGACAACCACGTTGGCTACACTCCACGGAGCAGCTTTGGCTTACCGGCACTGGTAGACCACCACGGCAATCTTCAAGCGAAACCCACCGCAGAAAACGTTGCTAGACTCTGACATGCGCGCTGCATATTGTTTGCACGTCATCCCACAGTTGTGTGCAGGCTAGAGAAGAGGACGAGGACACACTGGAGGACAGCTTCATGCTGTCTGGCTCACCAGGCCGGTGAGCAGTCATATGCCTCTCAAGCCGACCAAACACGGCTCACTTTGCTGACCGAGTCTAACCGATACCACTTTCCCCCTGTCGACCATATGAGCTTGCTTTCGATGAACAGCTTGGTTAGCTGAAAGTGGACGTTTCCCGGGGCGCGTGGCACATCCCGTCGTCGAATGATGAGTAGCACCCTGTCGTCCTCCGTAGTTTAAACCTCTCCTGTAGGTGCAGCATCCGACTATGATGAACCTCTCATCGTCACGTGACCCATCTCTAGAGTACGAAAACCTTACTGTCCTCAGGCCATTTCATAGGACCATATTCAGATGAAATCTCAATACAAGAATCTGCATCGAACAACGCACGCCTCTTACGACCGATCAAGCAGCCTTGTCACCATGCGTTCGTCTTACCAATCAGGGTTCAGAAAGCCCATGGCTATGTTTCAAGACACTCCACAAAACTATGTTTCCTTGACAAACCAGACATCATCACTCGCAGCCCATGGGGTCCACGTAGGTTGGAGCCTGACAACGCTCCTCTCCTTCACGGGTACACTGAAGCAAACCTCCTGCCAGCTCGGGAACTAAGTCGCTCTCCATCGCCATTGCCCAGCCCAAGCCAGCGCTCGCGTGATCCGCAGGCATGCTCTTCTGCAGCCTCATCGTGCTGATGATGCCACAGGTCTTGACGATCAAAGGTCGGGGTTTGCGAACAGGGAAGGTCGTAATGGCCTTCCTCTGTCACGATGCTTCAGACTGGGTTTTTTGGTTTGTAGAACAACGCTGTAGAAGCAGTTCAGCCCTGTCGGAGTGCCAGCATTACATCTCATCTCATGCCCGATGACCAGACCATGTGTTAGACGGAATCGAAATCGTGCTCTTGGTCTACTTTCGTCACTACCATGGTGTATTTTGGCTGTATAAATCCACATAGCTATGCCCTTGTTGTCTCGATTTCGTAGCTGTCTCAAACAGAACCTTTCGATTTCCTAAGAGCACACTGCTGTTGGCTCCGAGGCTTTATCATTCTTCAAGATGAAATTTATTTCCCCACTCATCTCTCTCGCTCTATACTTGGGTTCTGCCACTGCAGACTATGCTGAAAATGCGGCTTCCGCGATCAATACTTTGCAAACAAAGTTTTATTTCACAGAGACGGGCTTATGGTACGACCTGTATCCTCCTCAGCCCCATCGACCCAAGCCTAATGATACTTGCAGGGACAACCTATGGTGGCAGTCTGGCAACTTTCTTGAGACCATTGCTCGTTTCGGCCAACTTGACTCTGCTTTCAAACCGACAGCCATGGACATCATCTCCAACACATATGCTAGATCAGGCAACCTAGCAGGAGCTAATAGATGGGTCAACACATATTACGACGACATGGGCTGGTGGGCCTTGGCCTGGATCGCCTCGTATGATCTCACTGGCGACACCAAGTACCTAGACACTGCCAAACACCTCTTCGAAGACATGACCACTGGCTGGACCACCCCTTGCGGTGGAATCTGGTGGAGCAAGGACAAAAACTACGTCGCCGCCATCTCCAACGAACTCTTCCTCTCCGTAGCCGCACACCTCGCCAACCGCGTCTCTGGTTCCGAAAAGCAAGACTATATCCACTGGGCCCAGCAAGAATGGGACTGGTTCCGTTCCTCGCCGCTCATCAACCCCGACAATCTCATCAACGACGGCCTCAACGCAGACTGCAAGAATAATGGCCAACCAACCTACACCTACAACCAAGGCGTCATCCTCGCCGCCCTCAGTGAACTAGCACGCGCAACCGGCGACGCTTCCCTCGTCGACCGCGCAAACTCCATCGCCTCCGCCGTCATGACCAAGCTGTCCGACCGCGGCATCCTCACAGAGCCCCGTGCCGAGGCCCTGGACATACAAGCTGCATTGTTCAAGGGCCCGTTTGTTCGTGGCTTGTCCACGCTCAATCAGTACAAGCGCAGGCAGGAGTTTACCGACTTCTTGAGAAGGAATGCGGACTCGGCGTGGGCGCAGCCAAAGGTTGATGGGCTCATGGTGGATCGCTGGCAAGGGGGGAGTGCGAATGCGAATGCGGGGAGTCAGGGGGCCGGGATTGATGTCCTGGTTGCTGCGGCGCAGACGATGTGAATGAAACTGGAGTTTGTCACCGGGGATTGGTGGGCGTTATTTGTTCAATGTGAACTAGGGGTGTTTGTATATAGGAGCGCGGATTTCATTGGATTTCATTGAATTTCACGTTTGGAGTTGTTTGGAGAACTATAGCTATCACATGCGGTACACTGCCAATGATATTTGGGGTAACCTGAATCTACGACTTTAGTTCAGATATAGTCCAGGCAATTGACGTGCATGCTACCTTCTTCCAGTTATGTCGTCAGCATCCTGGTAGCGAATTTCCAATATCGCTTCATCAAGGTTTTGCCGGTTGGTGTGCTAGGACAATGGATCCCATAGTGCATGGGTGAAACTGTGTGGGTAGGTAGTTGAATAAAGAAGTCTGTCAGGACGAGGGGTGGATCTTGACTAAAGACCCTGTAGTTGCGTTATCTTAGTGTTGCGACCTGCCTGGTGAAAAGCGGTGTTTGACTTTCATCACTACACCAATGAAACAAAGTCTCTGCATCTACTGGTCTCTTTATTCCTCAATGCACTGTGGAATCTTCCTGTTTGCCATCGTGCAGGCGGATTATAGAGACTCGTTTGCTGTATCCACGTAGTGCTGGCCTGATGGCTGCGCGCACAAGGTTTCCGCTCACATCCATACAACACATTCGCACATGGCGGTCTTCGGTGCAACTGGCTCGCCGCTGTCCCAAATCGTGGCTGGACCGCTCTCCTTCTCCAATTGTTGCGATACTGAAGACATGTGGGATCAGGTTCGGACGTTCCACCAGTTCTGGTAAGTCGCATGACATCACCGGCATCCGAGGCTACCTATCCACCACTCGTCTTGCCAACACCACCAGGCTGCCATTACTCCGATTTACATCACACGCAATGGCTCGCATCAGGGTAATTTTCTCAGCATCTTGGTAAGGAGAACAGTCACTCATACTACAAGCAGGAACAGAACAAAAAGATCGAAGAGGTGCTCGCTTCCACGGCAGATCAAGGGGCGCAAATCGACCAAGTAGCGAAGATTCGACGCTGGTTCCGGCCCCAGGATGATAGCGTATACTTTCCTGTTGTCCAGGACCTCGTCAACGGGAGAATGTCCACGGACGAGGCAAGCACCAGGATTTTCGGGCAAATCGACGAAAAGATCGCTGCCAGCAAAGTGGACGATGTAAACTATCTGGACCTCTGGTACAGCATCATCCACTCGGCAAGGCGCATCGACTACCGGGACATGAAGCAGCGCGACCAGGTGGCAGACCTAGTAGATTTAATCGAAAAGTTCAAGTCTCACTCGATACCGGACAATGCAAAATACAATCACTTGTATGAGTCATTGACTGATTTCTCCACGGCAAGTCGAGAAGCCTACAATGATACCCCGGTAGCACAGGACGGCTTTATCGACATTGAGTGTGCTGCCTGGGCCAATATGAACTACTTCTTCGCTCGCATCACCGATAAAGGCCTCCAGGATCTTTCCATATACGCCATCTGGGCGCTGCGCGACGCACTGGAGACTGACCACCAAGACGACCGCGAAGCCACCGCTGCCCAAAAGTACGACGCCCATGTCCCCGCCGCATCAGCCTGGATCACGGGAGCCGGACGAACCCTCTTCACCAAAAAAGTAGATCTTACACCCACTGACCCCAAGCAAGGCAACCCCGCAAAAGGAGGCGAGCTATGGAAAGGCAAACCAGAGTTCAGCCAGCAACGATGGCTCTTCTGGAAAGAACGATTTGCAAGCATTGCGGGAATGGACAACGTCAGAGAGTACACACGCAATATAGCAAAGACCTCTGTGCAGGAGATGGAACGCGCGGAGACGTCTGAGCACGTCTAGAAGGCGTGACTTGGCTTGGCTACCTCGACGCTCTGATTACTGTGTAGTCGAAAAGGAGCCACTGACCCGCCACCAGCCGTGACCACGGTACAGAAGGAGATGCCGGTACACGGCCACCTAGCATAGACCCCGTTATCTTATTCCCTGTATGCAACGCCATCTACGCACCCCACCGCTTTGAAAACTCTGGGGCGCGCGGACTGCTATATGAATTATATACTCAACTTGAAAGAAAACTTCCCTGGCTATTTGGCTACTTGCAATGACTCTTTGAATTCCCCTCCTTGATGCATGAATCTTGATTGTGATCCAGCATAGCATGGTACCTTTTACTGCTCACCGCTGGGTTCTAGGTGGGTGTTTGGCTGGGCGGCTGGTTGGCTTTGAGAATGTGTATAGGATGTGCATGGCATGTGAACTCGTGCTGGAAGGTTTCAGGTGGGTGTACGTACCGTTGGTTTGGGGATACGGTTGAAGTGCTTGCGTTTGACAATTGGGATGGGCTGATGTATCGAGTAGTGTGTGGGATCGGGGATGTCATAGTGTGTACGGTCTCGCAGCCAGGGGTTGAGAAAGACGGTGATTTGGAAGTTCATATGCTCAGGGAGGTATGGCGATTGCATTCTTGAATTGATTTCGTGGAGAACCCCCGGTCTATATTCCATAACTACCAACGTTGTTTGTCGTTCCATTCGTTAGGAGGCTGTGAGATCCCCATGCGGTCCTACCGGCTTAAATGTAGGCAGTACCCGGTCCCACAATACATGTAGAAGGATCCTTGGATCTTCCAGTGAAAAATGCATCAACTCAATGCACAGGTGACGCAAACGATACACGCCTTCTTCTTGCGCTGGCGCTCTACAAAGTTATGCCAGGAGCGCTCCAACATCGCCTCGACATAACAGGTAGGCTCGTCGTCTCTTGTGTGCAAGAAGAGAGGTTTGCCATTGTCGCGGAAGTTGGACGGTTCGCTGTTGTCAGGGTGGGTCTCGAAGCACTCATGACAGCGTCTGTGCGACTTTAGCGGAGTTGAAATACCTGAAGCTGGCGTTGAGAATGTGCTTGAGGTGTTGGGCTGACTTCTTGGTACAGCTTGCAAGATGGGTTTGCTCGATTTTCTCCTTAGCCCCTGGGCCAGAGGTCATTCAACATGACCTAGGTGTGTGGCTCTGACAAGCGATCTACGTAATTTGCTGCTATTGTTTGGCAGAACGCATAGCAGGTTGACGCCTGCGTAGAGATGACTATGCAGCATCAAAATGGGGGAATTAGAAGAAGCTCATTCGGATGCTGTACGATGAGGATGCCGTGTTTATGTGCTAGCGACTTGAAAAAGAACATTGCTGCACATTTAGCATGACCATTAGCATTTTTTTGAGAAGAAGCACTCGAATAATATTTCGAGGCCCAAACTCCACATGCGCGCGTAATTCAGTCGGTCGTGCAATTGCTGCACAGTTGGGCGTTGGTGTAGAGGTTCGGGAGTGGAAGAGGAGGCCGCACCAGCCACAGTGGCTGAGGACTTGGCGGATGCGGCCCTAGCGGGATAACCGCACACTGGCTCGACCAGAACTTCAATATTCACCGACCGACGACAACCCCACAACTAACACGACAGGTATTGCGCCAACACCGTCAACATGCGTACCTACGACGACTCCTTCAGCGGTCAGAAGATCTACCCGGGCAAGGTGCGTTCCTGCCGTCCCTCTGCTGGGCGAACTCCCCCCGTCGGCCGCCAGACGTCGCACTTGCGCTTCCCCCGAGACCTAGCCTGGCGGAGGGAAGGATGACGAAGACGACGACAATGATGATGTGGGCGAACAACAGGTGCTAATTGCATCTACAGGGCAAGCTCTACGTCCGCGGTGACAGCAAGATCTTCCGCTTCCAAAACGGCAAGACCGAGTCCCTCTTCCTCCAGCGCAAGAACCCTCGCAAGATTCACTGGACCACCCTGTACCGAAGGGCGCACAAGAAGGGTATCTCTGAGGTGAGTCGCTCCCACTCCAATGCCCAGTTGTTCGTGGTATGAGGGGTTATAGAAGGCGAGACATGACATCAGTCTGCATCTTGCGGACAGACGCAAACAACACGAAGACGACACCCCTCTTGAAGCACACCACTGACCACCATCACCCCAACAGGAAGTCGCCAAGAAGCGCACCCGCCGCACAGTCAAGCACCAGCGTGCCATCGTCGGTGCCTCGCTCGATGTGATCAAGGAGCGCCGTTCCCAGCGACCCGAGGCCCGCGCCGCTGCCCGCAGCGCCGCCGTCAAGGAGGGCAAGGAGAAGAAGGCCGAGGCCGACGCAAAGAAGAAGGCAGAGAAGGCCAAGAACGCTGCTGCCGGACGGGGCCAGGCCGCAAAGGTCAGCAAGCAGGGTGCCAAGGGCGCCGCACCAAAGGTGCAGGCAAGGACTCGTTAAACTCTGCTGTGTGCGCTGTACTATGCTGCGTTAGAAGTCGGGGGTGTTCCCTTTCTCCCTTCCCTCTTACCTAACCCTCTGAGAGCTTTTCCCTGATAACTACTCTACGGGAAAAGAAAATATGGAATGAATGGAATGGCTTGAAAATATGGCTCTGACACAATTTTTTTTTCTTTCAGGGCGCGCGCGACACGTTGCCGCACTGGACCATGTACTGGTATCTCTGGGTCCACGTTAGGGTCTGGCGCCACAGGGACAAATGCAATACCAAAGTCTGACGAACCACGACGACGACGGTGACTGACTACCTTGTTTTGGTTTTCTCTAAGCGTGACATTGATTAAATTGTATGCTAACATCTTATACGTCGTTGGCTCATTCGTGGGAAAGGGCAGGGAAGAATGCTATTGCGTCTATCTGTTTGTCAATCTATCCCTGCCCACGACAACATCCAATGAGCCTACCTCACCCCGTCGCCAACCGTGCTTGTCTATCAACCACTATATACTACTTCCTACCTATATTAATACTAATACTTTGCCTCGACAAATCCCACTGAACTATCATCCCCCTCTCGTTATCAACCCAGTACTAGACTAGGACGGAGTGTATGTGTCATCTGTTGTGCTGTATTTCCCTCTGTTTTTCTCCGTTTCGCATATTTCAGGGTTTGGGCAGACGTATGTTGTCAAATGTCCGCAGCCAGATCTGCCGTGCAGATAAGTACTTAGAAAGATGTTAAACTTTCACATACGACCATAGGACACTGAAAACTAGGCTTCCCGTCCGCTCAGCCATATATAAGCAGTGTACCGGCGGATTAGTAGTTAGGTGGGTGACCACTAGCGAATCCCCGCTGTTGTATGTTTTTGAATTTTTGTCTAGGTTATTTTTTTTGGTGTAATTATTTTTTAGATGCGAAGAGTGTGAGGGGGGAGTGAAGAGGGTAATAACACGGAGAGGGTAAAGTAAGACTACAAGTTAGAATTATAATCACAATCTAGGATAAGGATATGCAATACAAGAAGTTTGCTCTAGGGACGTGATTTAATTTAATGTTATCTAGAATAGTTTTTAGGAACGTGAAAGTCAAAAACACCCTCTCTTCTTTCTAGTTAACCTCTCCTTCCCCTTAAAAACCCTAGAAAAACAAAATCTTAGATATAATATAAGATGTAAGTACGACATATAAAATAGATATACAGTTTATATAAAAAGGATATTGTAAATTTGTGTATATACTTTACCTAAGAGGTGGGATATTATATAGAGAGTTAGTTTTATATACTTAAGGCACAAGGCGGCTCCGAACCTCTAATGCAAAGGGGTTGTGGGGTTCGATCCATGACCGCTACCGGTAATGCACTCTAGACTTGGGAGATTTAGTCCACAGAGTTGTTTTGGGTGGAAGATGCCAGCGCAGTGCATTCTGCATCTGTGGATTAAGTCATGGGTTTAAGCGCTTTGTTGTCGGACGTGACATGAGGTTCAAGTCATGTAGACGATAGATGCAGGGTGACTGCTATATTTTGTATCTATGTGAAGACAGAATGAAAGACAGAAAGAACTTTGATGTCCCAGCACCATCGTTGTACAATTTGTAGTATAGAACATGAACCTAAACTCAAACGCCTTCAAAATGAATGTCTGCACACCCTGATCCAAGACCATCACCTCGGTTGACAGAGAACACTTCATCGCTTGCACCCATGCCATGATCCCATGTGGAAGACACCTGTGTTGCTTCGGGTGCCCAGTGACTCATCGTAACGAATGGATTGCTGCAATACTGCTGGTCAAGTGGCAGATGAATCGCTGAGCTTGCGTTGGTCGTACCGCCGCTACCAGGTGGGTCGATCGCCTACAAGCCTGACATTAAGTCCCACACTGAGTCCATGGATGGAACCATCAGGGTATTTTCATAGCCTCCTGCGAATCCCATTAGCGCTCATCCCAGAAAAAATGGCGATTTGAAAAGTACCTTGCTTGGTCTGATATGTATAGGGATAATCAGCAGGCGGATTGAAGTTGTCTTGCTGGGTCTGATATCGATAGGGATAATCAGCAGGCGGATTGAAGTTGTCTTGCTGGGTCTTATATCGATAGGGATAATCAGCAGGCGGATTGAAGTTGTTATCTTCATCTTGCTGGGCATGATCCTCATAGCCAGGATTGGCAGGCGGATTCATGTTATCAACTCCACCTGGTTGGGCCTGGTCATAGAGAGCGGCTCCATCACGCTCAAGGAGTGGCATCTGGGGAATCTGCGGCATCTGGGGAATCTGCGGCATCTGGAAAGGTGGAGTATTGTTGTACTCGGTCTCGTTCTGCGGTCCAGAGGCAGGAGTGGGAGCGGCCGCGCTTGTATTGTGCAGTCCGGCACGCGTTGCAGCGATATTGTTACATAGTTTCGAGATTCCTGAATAGCTGGAAATTGAAATTGTTCATCAGTTTCGTACCTGGTATTGCAGTCGCGATTACTCACCTGTAAGGCAGCCCAGTTGCTTCTTTGACCTCCCGTAGAATCCTTGCGACATCTGTGGACGGGGATATCAGGAATCTTCGGTGAGTTACATAGTCTCTCACCGCATCGTAGAACCGTTTGCACAACTCGTTGCGCCTTGCCTGTGTCCATTTGAGAGATCCGGGCGTGTCTTTGACAGCATTGAGACCTCTGTCCAGGGTCATATCAGGGGTCTGAAGCGTCTCAATAAGAAGCTTGTATTGCGGATCATCGGAAAAGTCCCTGACCGTAGTGAAGTTGGGAGGTGTGTCTGACATGCTTGTAAAAGTGCGAGGGTCGGAGAGAAACTTGACAAGGGGCAACTCGAGAGCGATAGAGAACTGAAGTCAGGGTGTAAGTATCGTATGCTCGATCAATATGAATGTGGGAACTTCGATCATAGTTGGGGACGTTGGATATTTATGTCGACGCTCCGAATGTACAATAGTACTCGCAATTGCTCTCATGTAGCGAAAGGTTTTGGCGAACTCTTTCCTAGAATTTTTGAAACGCCAGGGGAGTACCGCTCGGTATCGTTCCAGCTTGAAGTTCCTTTTGCTGGAAATCTCGTCCCAATTTCGTACGCGAGAGTGGGGTTGGAGAATCCCAGAGGTGCAGTGCAGCAGAATTTTGTGAAATCTTGCCTGGAATATGGGAAATTGTCCTCGAAGTACAGCATCCGCGAATTTGCAAAGGAGAATGAACGTTATCGTATCCCATGCCAAGACTTTATTGTATCCCATGGATACGATGAAGTCTTGGCAGATTTCAACATCCACGCTGAGCCCGCAGTAACCCCACAGCACGATATCACTGCATCGAGATGCTGAACTACAATCGGACTCAATTCTTTCCACCTAATTCACTCTATGTCTCTCCCCCGATCAATTCACTTTAAGTGAAGAATGATGATGTAGTGGGCAGAAGGAGACAAAATCTTGTGACAAAGATTATGTGCCAAGAGAAACTTCCCAAAAAAGTTTTACGTACTCATTGGATGAGCGCTAGCAATTGTTTCCTCTATAGGGCTGTGCCTGAGCGAATGCGTATGAAATGGGGTCCGGGTAATATGGACTGGCGGGGCAAGAAATCGTCGTATATTGTGTTCATAACGCTCTCAAAAGAAGAGTGTTGTGAAGGAAGGAGTCGTGAATGTGCGAAATCGAAATGCCAGCACTATCAACGGACAACATACTCAACATCGTTGCTCTAGCAATCGCAATGCTGCAACTGCTCACACAAATTACTTTATCTGTCGGATGTCTTCAGCGGTCCACAATCCCCATCTCTTGTAGTGAGTCTGTCCAGCGCCCCTGTTGTCATACGCTCACGTCGATGAAGCAGCATGGTCATGTGTGCGTTGCGCGGAAGTCCCGATACCGGTACAGGATCCAGTCAATCGGGCAGAGAGAGGAGAAACTACGCCTTGAGCGCTAATGATGGATTCACTCAAGGAGGAACTATCAAGAGTGACAATACCGATGCGGAGATTGAGCTTTGGCGCGTCGATGGGAAGAATTGTGAGGGAAAACGTTTGCGAGTGCACGTGCCCCGGACAGCGTGACGCGGGGGCGGGGACACCGGTACGGGTTCCGAAGGCGATCCAATTTGGTGTCTCTTGTTTGACCACGCCTCACGAGGCTTCACATTTTCAATCAACGACGTTTGCAACACGACTGTATGCTCTAGACGTTTGCAGCTCGAAACTTGTATATCATTATCATGTATTTTAAGAACAGCCTACGAGTAATGTGCCTGAACCTCCTGCGGACTTTAACGGCAGGTTAGGCATTGTAGACCCACGCTTGCTCGAGCGTGTTAACTGCAGCCTACGCAGCCTTTGAATTGACCAATCACGTTTGATTTGGTACAAGGTACTAGGCAATCTACGTCAAAGATATCGCGCGACTCTTTCGTCAATCTTCTCACCCGCAATGCTCTCGTCCCATGTCACCATCGAGGCGAATACGATGAAGCCATGCCTCTACCGTCTACCCCATGGGATGTGTGGCACAATAGGACTACCAGCTTTGCACCTCGTTCTGGATAGCACGGTGGGTGAGCAGCTCCCTTATCGACCGACTCTACGGAAGCACATCACCACGATGGGAATGGGCCAGTCATGACGAAAAATCACACTGTGTAGCAGGCAAGCATCACCTGGAACTTTTCAATTCATTCTAAATTGCTGGCTCTACCACATATTACAGCTAAAATGGCGGGGGCCAACTACCCTGGAGATCTGATGGCTACGCTTCAGACTGAGGCCTCAGTTCAACACAACTGCCTGCGCACACTCTACTTTGTTCACGGGAAATTGTGTTACTTGTGCGGTCTTACTAGGAAATGTTGAATTCGCTTCCCCCCTGGGACATGGAACCAAACATGCGAGGTAGGTCATCGGTACTGAGTCCGAGCATGGAAGCGTGCGGGGATGACACGAGCCTGGACAAGCTGTGCATGCTACCCTCTCTGGTTCCTGGACAGCTGGCATCGTACGGTCCAGCCAATGAACGTCCTCGTTTTGCCCCCGTTCCCGGCGCGAAATCCCAGTCCCAGCTGGGCCATTTGCTTTCTTGTTCATAGAGTCTACTGTCCATGCTCTTGGTTTCTTTGCGCAGCTGCTCAAGCTCCGTCTCGAGATTCCCTCGTTTTCTCGTCTGCTCTTCCAATACCTGGCCAAGTTCGCATACATTTCGCCTCAATTGTACGAGTTCCGAGCGCTGCATCATAGTCTCACGTTGTAGATTTTCCGTTGTTAACCTGAGGTGACCCATTTCTTGGAAAATAGTGTCAAAGTTGTGTTCGGGCGTGTGGTTCGGCACTGGCGACTGAAAATGGGCTGGGGGGACATGAGTGCCAGGCACCAGGTTGCGAGCTTCCTCTGTGTATGCGGCGTTTGCCTGCTCTGCGTGAAGCGTCTCATTGTGCCATGATGGAAGGGGTGCACCATCTCCTGTACGAACCGGATCGGCGAGGTATGGAAGTGGTACAGCACCCTCCGTGTACTGGCCGCTGCTCGTTTGGGCCTTTGGAAACATCTGGTAAATCTTCGTGGTACTAGACTGACATGTCAGGAACTCCCGGGTCTGGACTGCGCATGTAGACTCACCTTAGCTTTACATGATAAGTATCCTGGATCAATGATACAACCTTGTTGCCATTCACCCCTTCTCGCCTCAAATGGTCTGAAATGGTGGACTTGAACACATCATATACGCAATTCCACAGCTTCGCTTTGAAATTAGGCTCGCCCTGCCATGACTGTTTTGACCCCACAAACTTGGCCCAGGCTGTGCCTTGTTTGCCAACTCCCGCGCGACTGAACGCCTCGAAGTACTAGTCAAATACAGCTTTCGTAATGGCTATAGCTTCATAGTGGTGCTCTTGATTCAGTGGATAATATAGAGTCGCTGGCTTGTCCACTGAATCGTCGCAGGCATCCGTGACGTGCGTGTCAGTTCCGAGGAGTTTAATGAGATATTTATTAGATGGGTATATTTCTATACATATTGAAGGACCGAGAGTGTGCTCTTCTTGGTGTCAATCCAAAGTGAACCGTGAACGGGACGCGGTAGCGGTGAAGGGGCATCCAGCTGACACAACAGCCTGATTCGGTACCGGCACGCCAGATCTGCACCTTGTATGCAGCAGTGCCTTCAGCTACAGGCATCTGCATGCATATAAGCCGAGCCGTAAAAAGAAAATCAAGAAGCAGCAGGCGACATGTACTCAAAACCCGATAAAGTACAGCGCGATCACCAACACGTCCACATACAATACGTGACTTAGCCCTGGTAGCTAGGTAAGTAGACTACAAAGATACGCCCATTATCACGATTGATTGATAAACCATCTCACTTGCTGTTTTGCCTGTTGATGCGACCCAAGTATAACGTTCAACACATCAAAGTTGACTGCTCTACTTCTGTTTTCTTACCATTGCCCAAACCCGTCCTTCCCTCATCCATCCCATCCACTCACATCCCGCAATCATCCCCACATTAGGCAACTCAACCCCCCATCCCACGCACCCCACACGGCTCGAGCAAGTCTGCCCAGCACTCAGGGATGCCTTAGTATTAGCTAATAGATTAAGATCGAGTTGCCCGCCCACGCGCAGTATCAGAACGTATCAGAGTAGTTGATGACGACGACCTTGGACGGCGAGCCAATCGCGCGCTTCGATGTAGCGCTGGGGCTTGATTTGCTGCCATGATTGGAACTGGAAGCTCACGGTATGGTACTTGCTGTGGGGCTGTAATGTAGATGTAGAGTTGACCATTAGGGTTACCATAGTACACAACGGCGTTGAATACCATCTTGACGACTACCAAGCAAAACTGACAAGGCTCATGTGACAAATGAGATTGCAAGTTTGTGAATAGTTTGGTTAGGGAGGATATTGGCTACTTTGACAGACTGAGTAGAATGCAAGGGATACACAGGGAGAGAAGCAGGAAGCAGGAACCATTACACCTCCCAGCATAATCCCCAAGGAAAAAAACTTCCACCACAACCTCTAATCAGCCAGACAAAAGCTGAACAATTCAACGCACGTAGAAAGTTCAACGTAGAGTCAGCAGGTTAGGTGACGACATCACTGCTATACCATAACACGTGACCTAACTACGGTACAGCGCGCGTGCTAGTCTGCCTGCCCCTTCTGCCGTCTCTAATAAGCTCTATTCCTTGAATTTACGTAATTAGAATATACCAGATCCTACCTGCAGAAGTAACCTTAGTCGTATGCGAAGATTTTTACGTCTGACGGGATGTAGTTAGGCGAGGGGTGGGAGAGATGAGATGTGAGAGATGAGGTATACGACACAAGGTCAAAAAACATTGCAACTTTGTAAATAATTAGATTGGCGAGTATGTTGGCTGTTTGGCTACTTTAATAGAATACTAGACTAGACCATACACGCGTGTACAATACTCACACCACACCACACAAAACATAAACAGATTCAACAACCACACACCAAAACCCCACTCATCAAACCCATAGAGCCCAAACTATAATGTGAAAGTCCAAATTATACGGTAAACTGCAAGTCCAAACATCCAAACATCAACCATGTAGACTACCTCCCCACTCAAAAATTAGTTCTGAATATTAGCACCGAATATTAGCACCGAATATAAAGGTATAAACGCATAATGGACACAGGGCAAGCACCATTCACCATCAACAAGCACCAACTCACAACTCACAACCCACAAACCAAATCAACAACTCACAACAACAATCCCATTCCCCCCCAAAACTACAAAACCCCCAGTCCCACCAAACCGATCAAACAAGCCAAGCAATGCAACGTGAAAATCCTCTTCCTTTTCCTCTGAGCCAAGCCTACACACATCTCACATCTACCGCGAACCTTGCAAAACCCTCAAGGTCTACGCAGCGTATAGGATAACCAACCCCGTATGTTTGCACTCGGTATCCAAAACCATCGCGATTTGTGGACATTGCTTTTCTTTTTTCTTCCGGACTGAATTACTTTCTTTGCATGCACCAAGTCCCACTCAAGTCGTACTACACCATCACGACGCATGCACGCATCCAAGTCTTGTTTCAACTCCAGTTTGCATTCTGCCATCAGCCCAACACTTCCATCATCGAAGCCTTCTTCTCTTCATCCTCGACGAGCAGGCAGCGGGCTCGGCAGACGTCCTCGACAATGTCAACGACCTTGCGGAAACTCGAGGCCGCGCCCCGTGTCTGCGTGAAGCGAGCAAGGCAGAGGTTGGCCCGGTGTCCATGCTCGAGGACGACGAAGAGCTCAATCACAAAAGAGACGGGCTTGATCTTCAAATCTACACAGGCACTGGGTTAGCGGCTGTCTTCAAAAGCTACCTCGCAACGGAATCAGCAGTCATTACATCGCAACACATTCTCCACTTCTAGAATCTCGACTTCGAACCGCCAGTCCTTCAGAAGCCATCCCTGGAAGACGAATCTCGAAAGGCAGAGAGAGTTAGACTTACGATTATTCTTATCAACGCGGCCACTAATTGCATTCGTTGCCCGGTCAAATGACACGTCCTGGACGCCGAATCGTTGCCAGTCCCGCAACAAGCGAAGCAGGTCTTTGCGAACTTTGCCGCGTCCAATGTGGAAGCAGAGTGTCTTGCTTGCAGGCTTGATGTGGAGGAACCGTGAAAGCCAGTTCATCTGCATCTCTGGAGGTCCTGTACGGGCCGCATGGTCACCACCGGCAGTGCCGTGCTCTGGACCAAGATCAAAACTACATGCCATGGAAGACGAGCTGAGATCTGCCGCTGTGAACAAGTCAGTAACCCCATAATCAACGACCCAACAGCTTCAAATACTTACTACCCAGCTCCATTGGCTTCTTCAGCTTATCATCCTTCGTCTTCTTGCCAAAGAAGCTAAGAAGGCCCTTTCGTTGTGCGCCGTCGCCTCTAGCGGCCGCTGAGCTGGTATTGCGCATAGGAAATTCGCTTGCGCTTTGACTCTCACACTCCTTCTGATCCTGACAAGGTACTTCAGCAGCAGTACTCGTGAACGGCGATATGCCCGTCTTCACGCGATCGTCAAGAGACTGCCAAGCTTCTGGAATCTGTAGGAGACCAAGCGATTTCTTCTTCTTGAGCTGGACCTCCACCTCCTCCTGATCGCGATCTTTCTCATCCGTAGTCCGTCGGAACCAGAGTGACTTCTTCTTCTTGACGACCGGATTCTGCCTCTCGGGTATGGGCGCAGTCTCAGTCGTACGGGCGGCACGAAGGTCGTTCTGAACGTCTTGAAATGGACGGACGGTATAGGTCGCAGCTGGTCCAGGCCATGCTACCGAGTTGGCAGCATCGCTTGCAAACTTCGAAGAGAGGCTTACACCGCTTCTCTTGCGTATGTTAAGCGGCGCGACGCGCGTGGGCGATTCGGTCACTAGGCGAATAGTCTGCTGCTGCTCAGTGACGACGCGGCGAGCCTGTGGTCTGTTTGGATCAGTGACAGCGCGTGGATTCAAAGCATTCGCATTGTACCCATCCACGACCTCAATCTTCACTTCTTCCGGAATGACGTGCAGTGGCGCCGGGTGCTCAGGCGATCTTGCAGGTGCTGAGACGGTGCGTTTGCCATTCATGCCTGGCACCATGAGACGATCGAGGTGCTCGAGAACCTCGTTGAAGTGTTCTGTGCTCTTGCCATTGCCATCCTCATCAAAACGGCGGGCGATTTCAGCGCGAGTCTCCGCCAGCTTTCGCTGCAGGAAAGTGTTCGGTGTCTCGGAAGGAAGTGGCGGGAGTGGTCGTTGAGACGCATTGGCTTTCGTATTCGGCGTCATCAGTGAACTACCACCAGAGTCCCTAGTGTTCGTGAAGGAGGTGGGCGGTGAATCGTACGACAAGGCGTCGTGGTAGAGCTCGTGGCCTGTACCAGAAGTCCGAATGCTCGAACTGACCGACGAGCGATTGAAAGCTTCTTCCATGACCTTTCCGAGCTCCATGCTGACCTTCCTAGCCTCACCTTGTATATACTTGCTTGGGCTGTCGGGCTTCCGCAGTCTCAGTCCTGGCGCATCCGGGCTCATCACACCACGCGTATATGGAGACATGCCGGGTGACGGACGTACGGAACTTGATCGCAAAGAGGAGCCGTATGATCCTATCGAGGTATGAGGCCGATGGGAAGCCGCATAGTCTCCAGGTGCTCCATGATCAGTTTCCCAGGTGCCAGTCGTCACTATCGAAGAGCGCCGATCACGCAAATGCGAGAAGCTCACCCCTCGTTTGCTCATACCCCCTGACCGAGTAATGACCGGAGGACTACTCGGCCAATGTGAACTAACAAGAGAGGACCGCGACATAGATCCACGCTTCACTGATACGGCACGGTGTGATGGTGTGCTACGGTTCGAGGAGCCACGAGACATTGCAGAACTGCGCTTAGAATTGTTCCGCAGAGCTTGTATTCGGAGTGAGCTGCCCGTCCGATGGCCCATTGCAGTTGCTGGGCGAAGTTTGCGGCTCCCATTGCTATGTTCACGATGGACAGTCACGTTTGACTGCACGACTTTTGGCTCAGGTACCATGGGCTGCCTGGAGGCTCGAAAGGGATCATAGCTCGCTTCAGAAATAGGCGACTCGTAGAAGCTATGTTTGGAGTACAAATGTTCGTTATTGAGAATCGAATAGCCAGATTTTGAGCGCTTATGCTGCTTTGTGGGAAGCTGCTCAAGGTCTTGACGTGTAGGGGAGTGACGAGTATTATGATGGTGATCGCTATTGGAATGCGCAACGGGATGGTGTGCGCTAGGCTGGTAATTCTCCAGTTGGTCGGTATGATATTTTCGGAGGGCAGAATAGAAATACTTCTCTTGGTTTGCCCTATGAAAGTGTTAGCGGATGCAGGCCCGGTACGAGAACAAATACTCACTCTTTACTCATCAAGCGCTGAACAAGAACTTCTTCTTTCTCGCTATGCCACAGCGTGCGCAGGTATCGCAGAATCTCACGATCAATGGTAGTACGCTCGAGGGTTGCCCACTCGGAAATGGCAGGAAGCGGGCCGGTCCAATGATCTTGAGTTGCAAACTCACCCACAAAGTTCAATTCTTGCTGATACTTGCGCAGAAAAGGATGGTCCCAGATCTCATCCAGGCCTATACGCCGCTTAGGATCTGCGACCAAAATCTTCCTAATCAAGTCTTGCGCCTCCCGGGAGATGGTGTCGGGCATCACATACTTGGCTTCTGCAATGTCTCGGAAAAGATTCTTCAAATGTCGGTCCTCGCCGGAATAATTGAAAGGAGGTGTCCCGGTCAACAAGACGTATAGAATGACACCGCAGCTCCAAACATCCGCCTTGGCGCCATCGTAGGATATGGTCTTGATAACTTCTGGTGCTGCATAGTGGGGACTGCCACATGGTGTAGTTAGCTTCTTACCGGTCGGCTGCAACGCGGCCATGCCAAAGTCTACAAGTTTCACTGTCATAGTGTCCCGATCCAGCAGGATGTTCTCCGGCTTAAGATCGCGGTGATGGATGTTGATGCGATGGCAGTAGATCAGAGCCGCAATGATCTGTCGGAAGATGTGTACGGCATGGATCTCAATGAGACCACCTTGTTCGTGTATATAGCTGAATAGCTCGCCGCCCTCCATGAACTCCATGATGAGGTAGCTAGTTGATGTTAGTAACAGGTTCGAAGATGCAAAGAGTGGTTGAGAGCTGCTCACAGTTCATCACGATTCTCCCAAATGTCATAGAGTCGGACAATGTTCGGATGGTCGAGCAACTTCATGATGCAGATCTCACGCTCCAGACCAAAAGGAATGACCTTGCCATCCGGGTATAGCGAAGGGTCCTGCTCGGCACTCTGAATGAGGTTTGCCAAACTCAACGCTCGCACCTTCTCAGCCGTTGCCTTTGAGATGATCTTGGCTGCACCATATTGCCCTGTCCCGCTGTGTCTCACAAGCCGTACTCGCGAACATCCGCCGCGGCCAATGGTCTTGCCCAGCTGCCACGGGCCAATGTGTGTCTTGCGGCGGCGGTTGGTGTTGGATGCATTCGTGCTGGCATTAGAAATGTTTGAGTCACGCTTGGAGTTGTGAGAGCGGGCGTCTGTCGAAGATACAGCCGAGAGACGCTTGTTCTCGGGCGAAGGCAGCTCGTGACGCACCGCGAGAGAGCCGTTGGGGACGATTGATTCATTGTGAGGCATAGCCACAGGCGGTGAGGAGGGCATATCGACTTTGCTATTCTGCTCTGACCACCGTTGTATTTGTGGATGCTCGTTGGCCCGGTTTGTGCCATCGGCGAGGGCGCGTCGACGAGTCGGTGGCCGGCCATGGTAGGCAGAGTCCATGTTGTCGTGGACGCGAGCGAGTAACGTGCAGCAGGCGAAGTGAGCGCTCTATGGGGCGAAGCAAGCCACAGCGAATGTATGTGGTAGGAAGATGATCCAATTGTACTCTACCAAGATAAGATATGTACTGTGTGCCCGTGGATGATGCTCAGCGCCTAGATGGATGCTTGGGCGTCGTCGTCGTAGTGGAGTTATGGCTGTTGGGTAGAAGTTGCCAGGCCGTACTGCGATTGTTGTGTTTGTGTTGTCTAGTGCTGTTTGGCACCAAAGGCGCCTGTTGCTCTACAAGACTGACAAGATTGGGGGAAAGAAGAAGCCGGTAAAAGAAGGGCGGCTCGCTGTGCAGGCAATTGAGTCTGTTCAGTGTTCGGCGGTTCCAAAAAAGCTAACAAGTGTTGGATGCATACAATGCCCGGCTATGCAGTGTCCATGGTTCGGGACGGAAATGCAATGGGAGATGGAGAAGAGGGTGGAGGGGGCACAGACGATGTTGATGCGGAAAGAGCGCAGATGCAAACAGAGGAGGAGCGGAGCAGATGCACGCTTGACCGCCGCCCCAAATGTAGCGAAACAATCTCGTGAGCGGGCAGGTAAGAAGGCTCTACTGAGTCTCCTCTTGCCAGGCACACAGGCTAACTTCTAGAACCGTGGCAGAGAGGGAGTTGACCTGCGACAAGCGGGCGTTGCGCGTGGAAAGCGCCCGATGGGGGATGAAGGGTGCAAGGAATGCATCGTCTAGGAAACGGGGAATGGAACTCACAACGGCGTGAGCACATAGGTATTGCAGCCATCCGAGAATTCGACCATCAAGAGACTTTTGGAAAGAAAGAAAAAAGAATAAGAATAGAAACCGCGTGCCCCTGAGTCTGCTAGACATGGGGCAGCCGTGTCTTCCTGTAACCACGATTGCGTCTACGCAGCCGAAAGCAGCAATGCAGACTGAGATGATGTCGCGCATCATTCGAGATCACAACGTCGAGCATTCCACGGGATAAGTAAAGAAAAAACACGTGAGCTAGCAAAGGGCTTCCGATGCCGAAATGAGAATGGCCTAAAGGAATGAAGGGAATGCAATGAAACAATAAAAGATCATATCCAACCTTGCTACCAACCGGCCGTTATATCATCCCAACCCATCCCCAACCCAAGCCCAAGCAGCATCGTATTTCCCCGTGAGGCCTTCACGAAATATCGTGTATATATTTATTTGCTGTTGCATCACATCGCATCGCGTCGCGTCGCACCAAGCGCCGATGCAAACCCCTCTACATGAGGGCTGCGTTGAGACCGAGAAGAGAAAAGATGCCAAAATCCAGGATGAGACGAGACGGAAGGCAAGATGAAAAGTCCCCAACAAACGACGAACAAAAACAAAAAAGAAAACCCCGTTGCTTGGACGGCGGTGGACCCGATCGGCGTCGGATTTTGCCGTCGAAGTCTGGCCGCATCCCAGGTTGATGGGTCACGACAAGGTACACACCCCGACCGCACGCATCCGGATAAGCACAAGAAAACCTTAATGCGGCTTCATCTCCTTCAGGAACACACCGCAGCTATACATCTACCTTGCCATCACTTTGTTCGTCATCCTGGATACGATGCCTTCGTCATATATCTGTAATGGGCAGTTTGCACTTGAATTGCACAGGGTCTGTACCGTAGCTAGCTAGCTGGCTAGTTGCAATGAAACACGGTATACCATATTCGTGATATAATCCGATATGGCATGATGCCAGGACCTTTTTTTCTGGACTCTCCTCTCCCACCCAACCCCCTTTCTTTCCCCTGCAACCCTGTGTCGCGCCTTCAAGACCAATGTACGCTGATGCGATTTCGATTACAATTCCGTGCCAAGCCGAGTGTTCACCATGCAACATTACACCCGTCCCAAGGCTCCCTCTAGATCCGCAGAACCCATGTCCGTGACCCCAGCCGGGAACCGCACGTACACGTCTCGATCGCGAGACGTGCATATAGACACACCGTGCAAACTCCCCTTTGTGCTAGTACCTGATACAAGCCCCCAAACCCAAACGACCAACTAGGAGGTATCCGCTGTCGACCAAAACGAAACGAGACAGAAAAAAGAAAGAAAAAGAAAGAAAGCATGCGACGGAAATAAGCAGCGCCATGTACAAAACATCCCGAGGGGTAGTCCAATAACGTCAAACGTGAGAATCGTAGCTAAAATTACTTGCAGCGAAGGTAGTGGCAGTCCCCATCAATATGTGCAGCGAAACCGACATCGGCATTTCGAGACTCGAGAACGGTAAGTAATAAATGAAAAGAAGAAGAAGACGGGTAGAAGATTCCAGGACAGAATCAGATGTGGGTCTTCGAGTCAATTGCGTCCGACTTGGGCGAATGACTTTCCCGTTTGGAATCATCATTTGCAGCCATTGCTTTTCCGCAACCTTTGACAAGTATATGACGCTGTGATTTGAATTAGTCTCAAGGCAGAATGAATATGCAAAATTTTCATCACGTACCTTCAAGGCATCTTTTCGTGAGAAGCTCTTGTCGCAGTGGTTGCAAGGGAAGGGCTTGACTGCCAGGTGGATCCTCTTGTGGCGCTTGAGATCGTGATTACGGTTGAAGCTTTGTGGACACTGGTCGCACTTGAAGGGCCTGTCGTTGGTGGCGGGCTGTTGATGCTGTGGGTGGCCCATGAAGTGAGGCATGGCTGCAGCGTGGCCACTGTTGAACCCTGACATCATGCCAGGATGTACGCCAACAAGCGAGAGCTGACCATTGGGATTTTGCACGTTTGAAAAGACCGGTGCGGGACCTGGTGCGTATTGCGACTGTGGTCGCTGGTACTGGTAAGATGAGGGAGGCGGGTTATTTGAGGGAATCGATGGCATCGGGCCTTGCGATACGACTGGCGACATTCTAGGCATAGAGCCTCCAGCGCTGATTGGACTATGTTGTTGCTGTTGACTGAGTGTTGGAGAAGGGCCGGTTGAGTAAGGAAAGTTGGACTGCTGAGGCGTTCCCGATGGGTGATAATTGTAGGTGGGCGTAGGTGGCTGTGGTGGTCGATATGAATCTTGAGAAAGTGAAGGCGATTGCTGGGGTGCTGATGAAGAGACGGGTGTTTGTGATCCCATCATCTGGTGTTGGTGTTGGTGCTGGTGTTGATGGTGTTGGTGTTGTTGGTGCTGATGATGCTGTTGTTGTTGATGCTGTGTAGATATTGAGGGCATGGATGATCCGTTGGAAGATGGCGTAAAAGGTGGCAATTGTTGGTGATTCATCTCATACGGTGGCGGATTCAGCCCTTTGCCGAGTGAGTCTTGTTGTGTGAAATGACGATCACTGCGCAGCGGAGCGAACATACCTCCTCGGGCTTGACCATACTGGTTCTGTTGATGATGCGCAGGCGGATAACCGTAGTGTGTATTGGTAGCCTGAGTGGGTGGGGAGTAAATGTATTGCGCGTTGGAGTAAGCCATGGTTGTCGAGTATGGGGCGCCACTTGTGGACACACCAGAAGAAGTGTTGACTTCAGCGTGATTAGTATTCGGTGGAGTAAGCAAGTTGCCAACGCTGGCAATCGTATTGGGAGCCTGTGAGGGCTGAGATGCGGTAACAGTGTTGTTGAAAGGATATTTGTGCATAGGTGGTGGGGGAAGCTCGAAGCTACCCAGATGCTGGGCGTGAGGCCTCCGTGCTGCAAAGCTTGGAGGTGCACCCATTGGGTCAGACCCAGGATGCATGGATGTCGGATGAGCCACGGCAGCAGCCACGTTGGCGGTTGTGTCCCGGGTAGGTCCTGATGACCTACCTGCTTCGGAAGAAGGAGGTGTTGGGAGGGAATGCAGCTGTGACGCGGCAAACGGTGGAGTGGTGAAATGAGCACCAGACCAGTACGACCCACGTGAAGGCTGAGAGAAATCCACGGAGGGCAACGGGCAGCTCGTAGCTCAAAAAAAAGGCGTAATGTGAAAGGTGAGGCCTTCTAGTCGAGAGGGACAAACTGCTGATGATATGCAGGTAGTGGACGAGGACGGATCTTGTAGGAGGGCCTCGGTGGTCACAGATACCCGCTCGGTCTCGAGAATTTACAATAGTACTCCCAGTCTAGTCTCTGGTTGCGCGAGACGGCGAATGGCTGGTCCGAGTCTTCTGAGATGCTGCGATCGACGGACGATCCTGCAATTGGTACCTGCGCTGGTTCAGTCGGGCAGTGATACCGACAGATGCACGCCTGGCCGTATCTCTTCTAGACGGTCTCAGTTGCTGCGCACAATCAGCGGCGCTCGTTGTCGCAAGTTGAAGAAGGGAGGGCGCACAAGAGGTCAAAAGCAGATCATTCGTACCACTGTGGTGGTCTCCAACACAGATGGCTCGGTAGGGCCCGATGTCCTGGTTGCGCAGACGTAGTGCTACAGGAGGCAGGTAACACGGGGCTGTGAGTAGGATGGTTTTAGGCCGAGACGGTGGGCCTTTGCGATGCCCGTGCTGGTGTTGTCGTCCGACGGGGATGACGAAGGCGTTCAAGATGGCTTCTACTAAGCTCACTGGCCCTGAACCACGGAATCTGAGGGGGGGCCGTATAGTCCCCAAAGTGGAAGAAGAAGAAGACGAAGACGAAGACGTGAAAAAAACTTGAGCAACGCTGGTAGTCGATGTAGTCACCGTCCACAACGACAGCGTTGCAAGATGTGGTGGTGCACGTTGGGGGGAGGAGGGGTCCACAAGTGCTATGGCGGGGGAGTTGGGTGAGCGTTTGAGAGGTGTTGGTGGTGGAGTATGGAGGCGTATGGAGGCGGCGATCCCACCTTGTTAAGCTCAGTACCTGGGGCGCCCTAGAGGAAACGATGGCGGAGAAGGCTGGAACCTGGGTAGGTAGGCTTGAGGCTTTGTTACCGCGAACGAGCGAGGGTAGAGTGGTGGCCCTTTAGGTATAAGTAGAGCGGACTGAGAATGTCAGGGTTTGTGGATTCGCGTGGCTGACTGGCGTAGTGGGCTTTAAAAGGATGGCAAGGTCTCAACCAGGCGATAGGGTTCGCCCGAGCGCTGTATGGATCTGGATCGGGATGGGAGATGAGGATGGCACGAGAGCAAGCGGGAGCGCTATTCACAAACGCACTTTGTCACAATAAGGCATCGCAGACGAGGCACGGCAGAAGCATCGCAACGAATGGATCCGAGCCACACCGTTCAGGTTTGGTTTAGACAGCAGCCAGACGAGCATGGCTGCATGGGGCCGCAGCCAACAATGCGTTACGGGGGGTAGGGGGGGGGGGTTAGGGGGGAGGGAGGAGGGAGGGGGGTGAAGTCACCTACCCTAGCCAGACCCTGCCCACTGGCCAGCCGGCGGAGTCTACTGGCGTGCGGGACGGCTTGGACCAACGAGGTGGAGGAGGAGTCGCTTGCGCCGGCCCGTGAACTTTGAAGTGAAAGGGCGACCGCATTCTCTTTGGACGTGGATGTGATTGTCTGTCGACTTGACCTCGGCAGGATCTTCTTTGAGCGTGGAAGAGGATGATGAGGCAGCGGGAGGTGGGGATCAAGGAGAGCGGTTGGCTGACCATGCGGTTCTCCTGACCCAAATTTGCGGCACGACAAGAGACAGACAGCAGAGAAGGCATTTTTTTTTGTTTTCCCAAAGTACGCAGGGTGAGAAAGTCCAGAGGCAGCCTAGGGTGTGTGTCGGGACTGGCGCCAACAGGACCTTGGAAAGCCAGCCTGGCACGGACGCGGTCTGGCCCCATAGAGCGCCATGACAGAGACAAAGAGCCCAGCGTTGAAACATGAAGGACTCTTTGTCGCCCTTTGGATCAAGCTGGCCGGAGAGGTAAGCCAATGGCTATCTTACTCCTGCACAACCTAGCTGCAAGAGATTCGCAACATGGATGGCTGGGGGTTTTTTTTTGGTGGTTGTGGTAGTGGTTTTGTTGTTGTTGTGGATACTGAAGATGATGGGTGTTGTTCTAGTTGCTGATGTGATGGATTTGTTTGATGTTGCGAGCGGCCCAAAGGCGAGCGCTGCTAGACCGAATCATTAACCTACTAGGTAGCCTGGAAGGAGACGAGAGAGAGAGAGAGAGAGAGAGAGAGCGAGCTTGTAGTAGCAGACAGAGACCATGACGCTGCAATTCATTGTCGTCCAACCCAGCATCCACCCAGGATTTGCTCGAAAACGACATGCAGCTCGCAGCTGGAGATCCCTGCGAACCAGACGAGGTGCTCGGCGACCACTCTGGCAACCGTGCTTGCATCGCTTCGCGATCTGGCTGACGACATGGCGCCGCTGAAAGAAAGGCGGGCTGCGCTAGCCAAGATGGAGTGCGAGTGCGAGCTGCACATGATTTCATCAAGGGCGGGCTATGTGGAGTACATTACCTGCCTACCAACCTACTGTACCTACACAGCACGTACATGGAGCAAGCCTTGGAAGCGCGCCTAAGCAGGAGTGTTTCGACGGCGGAGAGGGGGGGCAGATGCAGAAGGGGGGCTACCATCTGCTAATCCTGTGATCGTCATAGTATCCGCTCCCTAGACCATGTCTTGGCGGGTCGGGGTGTGTGTAGGCATGTACTGTACATACACGATAGATGCTGTAAATATTGTAGATGCTGTGTCTGGCAATGCCATGAGTCGACAAGGTGGAGAGCAATGTGGGAATGGTAGTGGAAGTGGTAGTGGAAGTGGCCAGGATGCTGCAATCTGACCCCATCTGTGTGACGAGTGGTCTTTGCGCGGTAGGCCTGTACCTACATACTGTGCTCCTTTACATACATGCAATAGCTGGAGTAGACAGCCAGTACAGTATGCACATGTACGGTGTTGTAACTTGTAGGCAGGTGGCTGGGTGACGTCTATTATTAGGCGAGCAGGTATATTGGCTGCAGCACGTGTGCCTTGTGGTAGGTACCGTATGTAGGCAGCCAGATCTGATGAGGCAGCCCAGGTGGGGTGGGCATGATTCAATCCTCTAGGTACCGTACTTGTATTCACGCCATCCTATTTCATACCTACAAGTACCTACCTACCGGTACCTACCTACGGACCTATGGACATGCCGCAGAGGCAGACAAAGTAGTCTATAGAGAGTAAGCAGCGCCCAGAGTCTCTCTGCTCGACCTGATTTTCCCTCCAAGCCAGACAGGCGACCTGGGCCCCCTCTCCCCCGTGCCCCCCCTGTAGATGCGCTATCGTCGCACATTGTGCCCAAAAAGGGGGAGTCGGCTTGTGGGCTTCCACGTGGGAAGACTGACTGGGTCGATTCTCGGGTTCCGTTCTATTTTTCCATCTTCATTGATTTTGCGCGCGTCTGCTGTGTGTGCATGTGTGTGCCGTGTCTGCGACTGGGGGGTTATGTACAGTACCTACCTACTATATTCACCACGCCCGTAGGGAAGGAGAACAGCCAAGGGGCGATGCTGGTTGGGGCAACACAAGGCGGGCCTTGGTCGCCATGACAGCTGTTGTACCGCGGGGCTGACATGGCATGAGACTGGAACGAGTGTCGACGCTGGCGCATCCATGATCAGGGCGCCTGCAGTTGGCATCTGCGCGCACAGTCGCCATTTTCTTTTCTTCTTCTTCTTCTGCTGCTGCTGCTGCTGCTGCTGCTGCTGCTGCTTCCCAGCGACCTGGGTAGGCAGTGGGTGGGCAGAAGAAAGAGGATGTGTATTACCATGGCCATGCTCTCTAGGTACGGGTACCAGGTAAGAGCTGTATGTATGTGCCATGTAGGCGGCGGTCGATCTGATGCTCGATTTGCGCACATCCCAGGCGGATGATGGGGCCACGAGACCGCAGACTTGGGGCAGCCTCGCCGACGCCATCCCCCATGGGGCCTGTTGCAGCCTTCCCTCCAAGGGCGCTGTCTGTCTGGAGAGAGAGAGAGAGCGAGAGAGAGAGAGAGCGAGAGATCTCGCAGGCGCAAGCGAGGTCCGGCCTGTTGCGCCCCCAGAGCGCGCCGTCGGGATTTTGTGGCTTGTTGGCTCTCCCGGCTGGGTGCGCGGTAGGCGCAGGCCTGGTGGGCACTTCTGGGCTGCCTTGGCCTTCGTACCTTGTGGTGGGTGTGAAGACTAGGCTAGATGGGTAGGCTCATCTCTCATGCCACCGCAACTGCAGACGACTGTGAGCGACCGCATAACGAGAAGCAGCGCGCAGCAAAGCATCAGAATACATACATGCATACCTACATCATCCATATCATACACACACCACCAATATTGCATAGTTGTCAACATGTTGGAAGCCGTCCTTCCCTTGGACATGGGTGTGGTTCGAGACGACTTCATCCTCGCGTTCATTTGATTCCAATTTCTATGCAATGTGCGTTTTCGTGAGACCCCTGGGCCTGTCTGCCCAATCGAGGCAATGGCTAAGCGAACCTGATTGGGAAGTCGCGACTCTCTCTTTCTCCCACTCCCACACACACGCACACACACACACACACTTGCTTTGCTCTTTCCTGCCATCTGGGCCTTATTGAGCCATGCCTACCTTTTCTCCCAAGGGGGGTGACTTCCTGAGGCTAAACCCACAACAATCTCGACATGTCACACCAAGAAAAGCTCCGTTCCAACAGCCGGAACCAATGCCTACCTACCTACCTACCTACGACAGACATAATCTGCCATCAACTAGGCTATGCAGACTTTGTGCGTGACGACTAGCGGAGCAGGCGACAAGCAATGATCAGCTCGTTGTTGCATGCTGATCCTGGTGCGCTTCTGTTGACTTTTAAGTTTTAACCCCCCACCTCTCCCTCCCCGGCTGTCCTTGCTCCAGCATATACGTACAGTAGGTAGAGTACAATACCCGTCGCCTTGTCGGGTGCCACAATAAGCTGCTGCCACTGCGGGACAGGCTGGGACTTCATGTCGTCATGTGCGCTCCATCCCCTGCCTCACAGCATCGCCATGGCCTTGTGCAATCCCCATAGGAAGACGCTCCAGGTAAATTGCTTGCCTATCCTTGGAAACACTCACGCCGACACCGCCTCTCCAGGTGCAGAGGCTAGCATAGATAGTATCTGTTGTTTCTCCTACTACATGGTATTATACATGCATACTTTCTCTCTCTCCGTAGCCTCCGCCCCCATTGGCTCACCATGCATCATCCATTCCCTTCTCACCCCAAGGTCCCCAACACTATCGATTTCCAATCTCTGGCCATCTTCTGGCCGCACCAGGGTCGATTTCTTGGAATCATAGTCATCGGGGACGGCGTGCTCCGTCCGAGACTGCACTAAGCATCCTCGCCCGTTTACATACAGTAGCCAAGTACCTCGATGCATTCCACCCCCCCCCCCCTTTCCCATCCCATCGCTAACGTTATCACAAGCCTCTTAGACTCGTAGGGCGTTCGGGGTGGCCGATCTCCACACGCGCTGCCGTGTGACCTGCAGAGGGTCCAAGTCTTGTCAGCGCAGGCCCGCTTGCCTCCTAGCGTTCCAACATCTTCGCTCTTTTCCCGTCACCACTCAGCTTTCTCCATCCTTGTCTAGCACGCCTCCTCTCGGAAGACCCGTTCCTCGCAACCGACAAACGCCACCTCGCCCGCCCATCGGGTTGGTATTGCTGATGCACCGCCCGTCCAAGAGGCTCAATGCTTGCCCTGGCCGATCACCATGCCCACTGGATTATGGCGGTCGTCGACGGCGCAAATGCATGTTGAGCCGCACGCGTTGCCCACAGTCCTGGGACACTGTCCTGGCTGTCATAAATGCCCACACTGCACCTCACGCCTCGAGCCTCAAGTAGACCCCCTCCCACTACCGTGGTATAGAGGGCGCCGAACGGCACTAGGACCACACTGTCCATGTACCTACCACTCTACTACTACATGCCATCCATACCGTAGCTGCAAGTACATGGTGAGTAAGACTAGGGGCCATCCACGGACCATGGGGATCCCTGACCCCTTCATCTCCAACCCCATCAATCTATGCGAATCCGAATCCTGTATTCCAGATCAAACACGCTTCCACCGTAGCGCACTCAAGCCGGTGTGCGAGAAATTGACAGTGATGCAACCCAGGGTGCTAGTCCTACTCCTCGACACCTTGGCAACCTCCTTCTCCTGCGTGATGCAGCCCCTCCCACCCAGTCCCTATCCATCAGGCGACCCTCTGCTTCCTCATCATCTACCGACCGCGCTTGGGGTCTCGCCAAACCCTGCCCGTGTCGCTGCATGCTATGATACTTGCACCAGATCATCCTTCCCAAGGCCCGCCATTCGCAATGGCCTTGGTCCCTCGTGTTGCTCCTAACCGCTCCTCCCAAGGCCCATTCGGCCAAAATTTGATTGGCCAAGACGCTCCCCGCGTCTGTTGATTGGGCCTTTATCCTAAACCGTCATCGCGAGGCCCAAATGTCCACTTCTTCAGCCGCGTCGAGAGCCGTGCCTGGGATTTCAATATTCCGAATCGCATCGCGCTGGGCTGCGGAGCCTACTTGTCCCAAAGCATAATCGCAAAGACGAGGGCGGGGGGGCGGCCAGGTAGTAAGACCTTGATTCCAAATTTCTCTTCTCCCACCAGTCGGTTCTGTACCTGCGTCAGTCCATGGCCTTTTTCTTAAAAACACAGTTTCTTGTGGCGCACGCCAGCATCTGTGGAAACTCCACCTTTTGGTGATCCCGTTGATCGTCTTGGGTCGTTCATTGCCTAATGGAGAGCACGCCAGTCCGTCGCACCCGCTACGCCAGACGCCAACAAAGCCATCCGTCTGGGCCGTGCTTTTGCAATCGATGATGTACACAGGGAAGGGCCGTTGTCGTCTGCCATCTTCCCTCTCTTGTAATGTTGGTGAGGTATGTACCTACATACACTCTATACGCATTCTACTCTCCAAGTAGCGTAGCCATGGTGTGTACAGGATGTAGGCAACAAACTTCCCGCCCCCCTCGCCTGCCACGTCAACATTCCAGAATGCTTAACCCTCGCGACCCACTCACGAGGCTCGACTGTGCGCGCGCTTGGCCGCTCCCCCGGCTCCAAGGCAACGCCAGCCGCATGTAGAATCAGATAATCCGATAGGGAAGAAAGGCTGGGTGGTCGAGACCACAGTCTGCATGCTCTTGCCCACACCCTCTCCAGTCCCTCCAGTGCTTTCACCAACACTCCAGGCTTAAACAGGGCTTGTCATTCGCTCCTGCCATGCTGCAGTTGGGCCTTTCCTTCTTGTTTTTCTTCAACTGGCCATGTTCCACTTCCCTCCTGCCTCAATGCGCAATGAGCCCATTTTCCCGCTTACCTCATTCATATTCTCCATTCCCCTACATCGAGATATTCCGCCAATCAACTCCTTCTCACCGCACCAAATCCGCACTCTTTGTTTTCTTTCTTCGGTCTTCCTTTAGTTTGCGGCGCGGGCGTGTGGCGTTTTACTCTTACTCCATCCTCCCCCGCCTTACTCACCCTTGCTCCCGTACGCCGCCTGAAAACAGACAAGTTATTTATAAAACCTCGCTGAATCAGCGCGCGTTGCGGCTTTTTGGTATGCAGCTCGTGTCTAGGTAGATACATGTGCCTGTTGTGTGCGTACCGTCTCATGTACATCTTGATACGCGGGTTTGTGTGTTGGGTTTGTTTTCTGCTGTTGTGTGCCTTGACTTGGGTTGGGCTTGGGTGTGGTTCGTCTGGGTGGTTTGCGTTGGGGATGGCTTGGCGTATGGGTACGCGAAGGAGGAAGAAGAAGAAGAAGAAGAAGAAGAAGAAGAAGAAGAAGAAGAAGAAGAAGAGGAGGAGACAGAAGAAGATGGGATTGAGGAGGCAGGCTGGTGGGTGGTAGGACTATGGGCTGAAGGGAGTGATTGCTGAAGGC